GGACCACCTCCAGCAGGACCTGAGTCACCAGTGACCTCAACAGGCGCAGGTACCGGAGGGTCTACCTGAGAAACACCTGAAGGAGCAGGACCTGGCGCGGGGAGGGGGTCTACCTGGGGAGGACCTGGAGCGAGAAAGAGCGGCGGGGGGGGGCGAGAGGCAGTGCGGTAGGGAAAGAGACGGTAGAAGGGAACAGACTCGTCAAAGGTGACGTCCTGAGACGCAAAGACACGGCGCGAGGTGGGGTCGTAAAACTGCCAGCCAGGCGCGTCAGGAGGAAAACCAAGGAAGACGCAGGGAATGGCGCGAGCAGAGAGCTTGTCCGCGGTGAGATCGCGGACAAAGGCACGAGCACCCCAGACCCGGAAACGCGACGCATCGCCAACCTCCCCCGTCCACAGCAGCGTGGGCGAGGTCTCCGGCAAGGAGACACGGGGCCAGAGGTTGAGCTGGTGCGCGGCGTACCGGACCGCAAACGGCCACAGAAAATGGGGAGCAGCCGCATGGATCATGGAGGTACGAGCGACCTCCATGACTAAGCCAATGCGGCGCTCAGCAACCCCATTTTGCTGCGGAGAGGCCGGAAGCGTGAACGACTGGGTGATGCCGTGCTCCGCACAGAAGGCTGCCAAGAGGTCAGAGGAGAACTCACCACCTCTGTCAGAGTGCAGACGCAGGACAGGAAAGTCCCGCTCGAACCGCTCGCGGAGCTGGAGACGCACAGCGCGGATCCAGGGGATCAAAACAGCAGGGACGTCCCCCTTGCTGCGCAAGGGGAAGACCGTGGTGTAACGCGTGTAGTCGTCGACAACCAGCAAAAAGTACTACCCCTCACGGCCATGTCCCTGGACGCGGGCTGGGCCCCACACATCCAGGTGGAGAGTCTGCAGCGGAGCCTCTGTGGGAGGAAACGAGGAGGAGTGAGGAGCGGCGCGCTGCCGCCCCTCGACGCAGGGAATGCAGGGCGGCGCAGGCGAGGGAGGGAGGGCAGGCAGAGACCTGGGAAGCCCAGAGACCAGGGAGCGAGAGTGCATGCTACGAAGGCGAGGCAGGGAGGGGTGACCAAGGCGGTGGTGCCACATGAGCGTGTCGTGCGACAGGCGGCGGCACTCACACTGGGTAGCTACCTGAGCAGACGCGTACAGCTGAGGAGACAAAGGGGTGTAGCGTGAAACAGTGGTGAGGGTGTACAGACTGGACCCCGGCTCACGAGTGAACGTGGCCAGGTGGCGGCCAGTCTTGGAGCACGTGCAGATCGCCACACGCTGCCCTCCAGGAGTCCAGGTGTCAACCCAGTGATCCTGAAGGACTGCGTTGCTCACCAGGTTCGTAGAGAACGAGGGAACGTGGAGACCTGACAGCTCACCAGACGGGACCGCCGGGCACGGGAGCACAGTCGTGGCTCGTGCAAGCACTGGGCCCCCAGAGGGGTCAGCCAGTGAGACAGGGACAGGTGCAGGGAGGGGAGTGACGGTGGTGCTATCGCGAAAGAAACAGCGGGAAGCACCAGAGTCAAGTGTAAACGTGTGCAAGGCCTGAGCCGACGCAGTACCAAGGGGAGCAGACTCACTAGCACCTAGGGCTGCAGCCCTTATACCGGGGTCAATACCAGGGTCAGGCGGCACACACAAGTAGCAGTCACCCTCAGCACTAACAGTCAATGCATACATGGCAGCAAGAATAACATCATAGTCCAGATCAAAGATAGGCACATCACGCCTAAGCAGCTCTGCCCAGTTGGGGAACTCAGTAGCATCAGGGTACTTGGCGCGCCAGGCGTCACTAAGCCTAGCGAAACAGCGGTACTCAGTGTGAAAACCGTCGCAGGTGCGACCCTGGCGGGGACCAGTACGAATGACATAGGGGCAGCGGTCAGAACCCCGAGTCGCCCCACGCCCAGCATACCAGTCATTGAGCTGCTGGGAGGTGAGGGGAGGACGCTGCTGCTGCTGCTGCTGGCGCTGCTGGTCACCAGTGGGGCCACCCTTCTGGCCAGATCCACCCCCACTCCCACCTCCACCGCCACTGCCGCTGCCTCCTCCCCCACCACCTCCGCTGCCGCCTCCACCGCCCCCGGTCCTGCCGCCACCCCACCCACCGCCTCCACCCCCACGTCCCCCCCCACCACCACCACCCCCGCCGCCTCCACCACCGCTCCCTCCACCGCCACCTCCGCCACCCCTGCCACCCTTGCCGCCCTTGCCACCGCCGCGCTTCCCACCAGGAGCGGAAGCCGCTGCGACCTTCTCCGCACCGAGGAAGTCGACAGCAGCAGCAGCAGAGGCGTAGGAGGGGTCAAGAGGGGAGGGGGAGCACCCCTCAAAGAGGGGAGTGCGGGGAGTGCCACGAGCAGCACCGACAGCGAGGATGTTCTTCTCTGCTGCGACCAGCTGCTGCTCGAAGTCGTCCAGAGTGATAGTTGGAGGATCCTTGGCAAGGAAGTGATCCCTGACAGAACGAAGAGTGTCAGGGAGGCGGGTGACGAGGATGTAGAGGGTAAAGTACAGCGGGGGGGTGTTCGTGGCGAGGAACTCGTCGGTAAGAGCGGCTCGAAAGCGGGCGTCACTAGCGCGGAGGTGAGTGATAAGGTCGGCAGCAGTGTGAAACGAGGCTAAGTCTGGGAACAGGTAAGGCAGGATGAGACTACCAACGGTGGCTGTGGCCGGGGCGGAATAGCGGGCAACGACAGCATCATACAGCGTCTTAGCAGTCTTAAGCTGGTTGAAATGCGCGCGCTCAGAGATCGGTAGGTGATTGCGAATAGCAAGGCGCGCGACTGCATCGCGGAGCTCCCACTGTGCTCGTTCAGGGGCAGGAGCATTCTCAGCGGGAGTAGGGACAGTGCCAGTCACATAGGCTAGCAGTGATACTCCGTCTGCGACGTCAGTCATAAGGTAAAGCCGCAGATCACTAAGCCAGGTGTCAAACTCGATGGGGCGGCCGTCAGACTCAAAGGCGAGAACAGTAAGGGTCGCCATGGTTGCAGCGCAGGCAAAAGTAGCAGGCTCAGGGAGCAAGCTCAGGCAGCAGGCTCAGGCAGCAGGCAAAGGCTGCAGGCTCAGGCAGCAGGCAACTGTAGCAGGCAGGCAGTTGGTACAGGCGCATTGCGAGCAGGTAAGGAAGCACGTAGAGCAGTGACGGGCCGCGCGTGGGCTGGGCGGGCGGTGCGCGGGCTGCGCGCGGGCTGCGCGGGCTGCGTGCGAGCTGCGCGCGGGCTGCGCGGGCTCAGTGCGGGCCGTGCGGGCTCGGCGCGGACTGCACGGACGGTGCGCAGGGCAGCTGCGGGCCGCGCGCGGGCTGCGCGGGCTCAGGGCGGGCTGCGCGAGAGACCTACGGGGCGCGACGCGGCTGGCAGCAGCAGTGCGCGCTAAAAAAAAAAAAACGTGCGCGCGCAGCCGAGGCGCGCGCGGGCAGCAGGCTAGGCAGACAAACAGGCAAGGCAGGTAGGCAGGCCGTTGGTGAGGTAACTTAGTAACTGGTGGGCCCTTAAACTTAGGTCCTAAGAACCTGCTCTAGATGCCATGTCGAGATCAGGGCTTTTTTTTTTCGTTTTAGAGTACACTGGTTTCCAGAGGCGTTTTTGGCATGACACTGAAATCCAGAGTGTTTGGCGAGCCTTTCTCTTAGGTGTCAGTGTAACACAAGCTTTCAGGTTAAAAACCCTGGCACCTCAGAGTAATTTTTTACTTTCCCTCTGATGTGTATCTACTGGGTGGCTGCCTGCGTGCGCTGGCATGCAACATGCCTTTCTGGCCAACACACGAGCGAAACACGAGTGATATCCCCTGCGCTTCGGTCAAAACCAGCAGCACGGGGATAAGGGGGGATGTGGGGGTTCGGGGGTACATGTATCCCCCGTACAGAGTAATCTCACTATCCGGGAACGAAACACTGGCGCTTCAGTGTGAACTTTCACAAAAACCCTGACAGGTCAGAGAACAAGTAACTCCCAAAAAAATTACCCAGCAGGTATAGAGTGACCCCCCGAAAACCACTCTGATTTTCAGAGAAACAGAGTAAATTACACTGATAAAAAAACCCCTGGTCGAGATAGTTAGGCAAGGTGGTTGACTATCGAGAGAAATTGGTACAAGTAGAACCCTAAAGTGTTATCCCCTATAACATCTACCCCACTACAGCCTACCAATATATAACATATATATCATTTGACAGCCTCCGCACCAATCGCAACCCTCCCAAGCCATCATTGCCCGACCTCCCCGCCTAGCTAGGTTTTCCCCTGTGTAGTCGTCGCCGTGCCATTCTCATTGTATCGTCATTCAGTATTTCACATGCTCGATAATCGTTATTCTGCTCACTTAGCAAGTTCATTCATAACACATCACATGCTACGGTAGTACCACCGATACATTGATTCAAGGCTTTCCCTTTTCACAATCTTCATCAAGACTCTGAACGATCCTAAGGGCTTCATGTCGGCCCAAGAAGCGAAATATAATATCAATAGGAGAACTTTAGGAGTTTACATACGGTAAGTGTAGTCACCATCAGAGCTGCTGAGTCAAGCCTAGAATCATCAGAGGTTCCAGCTCTACTGGCAGCAGTACGGCAATAGGCGGAGCCTTAGATGACATCAGGGCAGAGCTCTACTGGTCGTTGACCAACACAATCGCTTCTTCTGCTATCAGCCATGGCAAATTATTCCCGTCCCTTTCTGGCGCACCGACCTGGTCAGTTGTGCCACAGGCCTGTGAGTGAAAGAGGGGACATAATTTTTTTTTGAATGAGCTCATGCACTGCATATCATATCACATGATCTTCAGCAACGGTCCACTATGCACTGCTTTTCCAACTCTGCACTCTGATGATTCCCCCCCTCATGCCTCTCCGCCGCCTCATGCACAGCGATGCTAGCAACAGTCATCCACTCTCACTCCGTCACTCTCCCCCTCACCAATTTCCCACTCCACTCTTCCTAAAAGAACCTCACTTCATTCCCACTCCACCACTCTCACTCCACCAATCCCACACAAACAACCTTAATCCATCACTCCCACTCCACCACTCTCACCTGCAAGCAAGTGAAGCCAGCGACAGTCATCCACTCCCACTCCGCCACCTCCCCATACCCCACCTCCCTCCTTCCCCCGTCACCCTGCCCACTGCCCTCACCCTCCCCTTCCTGCCGCTCCCTGAGAGCCTCCAGCAGGAAGAAGAGCAGCGGCGGCATGAGCTGCAGCTCAAACACGCGGGGGGCGTGGCACAAAGGGCAGGCTCGGGAAGCCTCTGGGAGGAGGGGAGGCGGGTCACAGGGCCAGATGGGCTGGCCATTGAAGCGATACCTGGTTGGGAAGGGATGGATAAAGAGGCACAACATCAGCACTGGCGGAATGAGCTGCAATCTAGATACCTAACCGTATCACCAACCCGCACCTCGTCCACAGATCACATCCACCTCGCTCACCAAGCCGCACCGCACCGCACCGCACCTGACACACTGCTGGGCCTGCTTGTTGAGGCGCTTCTTAAAGCGCAGGTACGGGCGCCCCACAGTGCGTGCGTGCCTGGTCATACTCATACCCCTCGCCCTCCCACCGCTCTCCCTCCCATCCCTCGCCCTCCCCCTGCCCCACCCTCCACCTGCACCGCACCTGACACACTGCTGGGGCTGCTTGTCGAGGCGTTTCTTAAAGCGCAGGTAAGGCCGACCCACTGTGCGCGCCTGGTCGTACTCATACCCCTCGCCCTCCCACCGCTCCCCCTCCACCTGCATCGCTGCCACCCCCTCCGCCCCACCTCTCAAGCCAGGCTCTTCTGTTGCTGTTGAAACACATGCTGCTGCCCTGCCTCTGCCTCTGCCTATTGCCTCCTCTTCCTCCGAGTACAGATAGAAGCACGGGAGCAATCGGAGCACGCCCAGGCCCAGGCCCATGCCCATGCTTGCTTCTCCTACCGCACTTGCATTTGACGATGTCGCCTGTGTCGATGCTCCTTCCCTGCCTGTAACTGCCGTTTTCTCCCTCCTCCCTGCTGCGTTTGCCTCCCCAGCAGCATTGCCGGCAGCAGCGGCCTTGGCAGCAGCAGCACTGAGGGACGCGGAGAGAGCGTCAAGAGATGCAAGCGGGGGGGTTACCACTGTGGACCCCAACTCGTTACTGTCACATCCGCCAGTGCCAGTGCCCCACCCTCCCGCTGCTGCTGCTCCCCAATCCGACCCTGCTGTGGGAGCGGCACCTGAAGAGGCACCTGAAGCACCTGAGGCACCTGAGGGTGGGGGTGTGAGCCCCCAGCTATCTCCTGCTGCTGTACTGCATCCATCCCACGAGCTTGCATCTCCCCATGACGACGCTGTCACCGCTGCTGCCACTGCTGGTGCTGCGGTTGCTGGTGCTGCTTCTTCTCGTGGTGGTTGCTTTGAGGGAAGCTGCTGCAGCCGAATGATTCGCCAACTGCAGCAACCAGGGCACAAGGTGGGGAGGGGGGGAGGGAAGAGATGAAATATGTAAGCAGAGGACAGGGAGCAGGGCAGAGAGGGCACGGGATGGTAGGATAGGGGCGGAAAGGAGGTCCAGGGAGCGAGAGCAGAGGTGCAAAGGAGCGGGCTGGCAAGAAAATACTCAAAGCAGGCCCCTGCTTTGGCAGGCAAAGGCCTCCACAAGCTCCCTACGCCTTCCCCTCCTCCCCCCCCCCACATGCTCCCTTTGCCACCCTCCTGCAAATGCTTTCCCCACCGTGCATCTCACACACCCACTCAATGCCTCTCTCACCCCTGAGCCTGAGCAGCACACGGCCCTCTGTGTCCTCCTCCTCCTCCTCCTCCTCCTCCTCCTCCTCCTCCTCCTCCTCCTCCTCCTCCTCCTCCTCCTCCTCCTCCTCCTCCTCCTCCTCCTCCTCCCCCCCCACTCATCCCCGCCACTTCTCCCTGCACTTTCCCCCCAACTCGCCCCTCTCCCTTCCCCTTCTCCCCCTCCGCCACCTCCCCCTCCACTTGCCCCCCTTGCTCTCCGCCTTCCTCCTCCAGCTCCATCCCCCCCAGTTCCTCCGCCACCTCCCCAACCTCCCCCTCTCCCCCTGCGCCCGCGCTTTCCCCCACCACCACGTCCCCAAACACAGAGGAAAGGTCCCCAAAGGGAGGGAGGGCGGATAGAGCCTCCCCCACCGTTTCCCCCTTTTCCTCATTTTCCCCCATTTCCCCATCTCTTCCCCCATTGGCGCACGCGAACATGTACAGCACCCGCTCCTCCACTTGCAAGCTGCCACGTGTCACCCCTGCTGCTGCACCGTCTGCTGCTGCAGGAAGGGAGAGCGGGGCATAGGCCTGAAGTTGGGGGAATGAGGAGGGGTACGGGGAAGCAAGGTTCAAAATTACGGTTTTCGTAAAATACGGTCCGTTTTTTACGGTTACGGTGATTAAAAAAAAAAAACGGCCGTTTTTTTGTTAGAGAACTCTGTTCACCAAGAAAAAAAAGAGGAAAACAAGGTCAAAAACATTTTCAATCATGCCAACAAGCGCATACATGCAAGAAGGGGTCCGTCCCCTTCATGCTGCTGCATTTCGGGTTCAATTTGGTCCCACTAAGTGGCCGTTTTGTTAGTTAAACAGGAAACACCTCCTGGAACCATTTTAAACCGTTTTTTACGACCGTTTTTTACGGTAAATTTTCAAAAAGACGGTCGTTTTTTTTAACCCTGCGGGGAAGTTTGTGAAAAGGGAAGGGGGTGGGGAAAGGGAACAGGAACGGAAAGGAAGACGATTAGGGAAACAAGCGGATTGTGGTTGAAACGGAGTATGTTAAAAGGGGGAGAGGGAGCAACAAATGGCAGACGGCGGAAAAATGATAGCATGGCAATACCGGCATTAAGGAGCCAAAAAGATGATAACATAGCAATACCGGTTTTAAGGCGCCAAAAAGATGATAACATGGCAATACCGGCTTTAAGGCGCCAAAAAGATGATAACATGGCAATACCGGCTTTAAGGCGCCAAAAAGATGATAACATGGCAATACCGGTGACAAAAAGAAGCCGCGCGGAACCAGACGAGTGCGTGGGGTGTTTGGAAACCAAATGCACAGAAGAGGAGGGGAGGCGGGGGAAAAGGGAGGGGGGAGGAGGAGGAGAAGGTGGAGAGTAGGAAGGGAGGGGGGGGGGGAGAAAAGGGGTAAGGAGCAGTGGCGAACAAATAAGATTAGCGCATGTGGAACATTGGCGCATGTGGAACATTGGCGCATGTGGAACATTGGTGCATGTGGAACATTGGCGCATGTGGAACATTGGCGCATGTGGAACATTGGCGCATGTGGAACATTGGCGCATGTGGAACATTGGCGCATGTGGAACATTGGCGCATGTGGAACATTGGCGCATGTGGAACATTGGCGCATGTGGAACATTGGCGCATGTGGAACATTGGCGCATGTGGAACATTGGCGCATGTGGAACATTGGCGCATGTGGAACATTGGCGCATGTGGAACATTGGCGCATGTGGAACATTGGCGCATGTGGAACATTGGCGCATGTGGAACATTGGCGCATGTGGAACATTGGCGCATGTGGAACATTGGCACCCACCCACCGGCAGCAAAAGAGAGAGCGGCCCATCCCATGGCAGAGAGAGCAGTGCAGCAGAGAATGAAGAAGTGTGGCTCATCTGAAGAACCACCTGGTTACTTTGCATATGGCACCCACCCACCGGCAGCACAAGAGAGAGCGGCCCATGGCAGAGAGAGCAGTGCAGCAGAGAATGAAGAAGTGTGGCTCATCTGAAGAATCACCTGGTTACTTTGCATATGGCACCCACCCACCGGCAGCACAAGAGAGAGCGGCCCATGGCAGAGAGAGCAGTGCAGCAGAGAATGAAGAAGTGTGGCTCATCTGAAGAACCACCTGGTTACTTTGCATATGGCACCCACCCACCTGCAGCACGAGGGAGAGCGGCCCATTGCAGAGAGCGCACTGCAGCAGATGCGGCGGCGGGTGATCCGCCCAGGGGGGCCAGTCCTGAGGGCCACGCATGCGCAGCGCAATAGGGGAGCGGGGGAGGCAACGGAAGATGCAGGGTGTGTTTGAGAATTCTTTGAAAGATGCGGCGGTGGCGGGCGGTCCGCCCAGGGGGGCAAGTCCTGCGGGAGGCAATGCAATGGCGGAGCGGAGGAGGAAACGGAAGAGGGGGAAAGGAGAGAGGTGTGGGGGAGAGGGGGGTTAGGGTGGAAGGAGGTACGGGGGGTGAGCGTGGAGCATTGATGTAGACGCGCATAGAAAGAGTAAGGGGAAGGGAGAAACGAAGGTGGGAGGAGATCGAAGGGTGCGTTTTGGGTACGGCGGGGTTGAGAGGGGCACGGAGTGATGGAGAAGACACCAGAGAAAAGCAACGAGGATCGGGTCCGAGGAGGAGTAGGAGAATGCCGGCACAAGGAGGGGTTTCGCCAAATGCACGGTGCTCGTCTTGTGACGCGTAAGATATCTCAGCGGAATGGTTTTTTTTTGCTCTGCTAGATGCGCGAAAAGGGATCGCCGGGGTTCAAGGTTCCGGGGTTCTAATTCGGGTTTCGCGTAGGGGTTTGGACATGGGACATGGTCCTGAGGGAGACAATGCAATGGCGGAGCGGGGGAGGAAACGGAAGAGGGGGGAAGGAGAAAGGTGGGGAGGGGGGGAGAGAGGGTAGGGTGGAAGGAGGTACGGGGGGTGTGCGTGGAGCATTGATGTAGACGCGCATAGAAAGAGGGTAGGGGGAGGGGAGGAACAAAGGTGGGAGGAAATTGAAGGGCGCAATTTGGGAGGGCGGGGTTGAGAGCGGTACGGAGCGGTGGAGAAGAGATGCAGAGAAAAGCAACTGACGATCGGGTCCGAGTAGGAGTAGGAGCATACTGGCACAAGGAAAGGGTTTCGTCAAATGCACGGTGCTGGTTCTGTGACGCATCAGAACAAGCTATCCCAGCAGAATAAGTTATATCTCTCTGCTAGATGCGCGAAGATTCAGCGCTGAAGTTCAGGGTTTCGGGGTTCGGATTTGGGTTTCGCGTAGGGGTTTGGACATGGGATATGGGCGTGGTGAGGAGCCTGGGGTCCCTTGAGTCGTCTCATAGTCACCTCGGGAGATGGGTGTCGTGACAGGGCTGGGATCAGAGCCAGACGGACGCGGAAACGGATTCCGTCAAACGGGACATGCAGGTAGAAGATCTGCTTACAGGTAAGCCGCCGATCTTGGTGGTGTAATGATCGGACGGCTCACGATCGTCCTTGGCCCATGGCCCAGGCAAGCCCAAGAGTACGCTTGGAGCCATGCAGGGGAGGCGTGACAGTAAGGAGGGATGCGCGTCTAGCGAGAGAGTGGTGGAGTGACTGTAACGGAAGCTGAGACTCGCAGCCTAGGCACAAGGCACTGGCGACTGGTGATATGACATGTGGTCAACCAAGTCAACGCCCCTTGCCCGGTGATGGGGGGAGGGTGCGGGAGGAGAAATGATCCGCCGTGCCGTGCTTGTCTTGGCAGATACTCAACTCAACCCTCATGACGCGCCCTCATAAAGAGAAAGGGAAGCGAACGGCGGTGACAGGCATGGTCACCACACCACTAACTCAGAGATGTCTTACAGCCGCTTTCCCCATTCCACCTGAGTTGTTTGCCTCTCTCCGTGGTCTACAATTTCACTCATTCTTCTCAAGCTTATCAATTCAGCTACACCGCACACCGTACTCTCCAGAAGTACCTCAATAGTGAATGCTTCGCGCTGATTCAGAAGCATCTGCCATCGTGTCACAGCTGACGTGTATCTGCTCCACTAGCAGATCTTTCTCTCCACGTACCACGGAAAGCCAGCTACAGTACTTGTGCCGAATCCCAAGGGCAGATATGTTGGCGCCAAACCACTTTCTACCGAACCACCACTTTGACCTGGTAGGTCATGCTCAAAACTCGCGAAAGGTTCTCCGGACCAGACAATTTGCTTAAAACATCCAGCATGTTGCTGCCTTTCATTTGTTTTGAACCACTTAAGTAACGAACCGAAGTCGTTCGTATCTCAAGTGTGTCGATCACGTGTGAACTCAAAATGCTACGAAAGTGACACTCTAGACAGCTTACCTCTGTTGTACACGCTGTTTTTTTAACAAACATACATCCAGTCACCATACCTACATCCCAGCTTCCCAGCCAAGAGCCACCTTCCCCAAAGTTCTTCAGCACGCTTCCTCCAGCGAGCTTGTCCCGCCCATTTTCCTGTGTATTTATGCCAAAAAACCTCGCAACACAAGAGCAGTTGTGAAATTCAAGCTGAAGCTCCCAGCATTAGGTCAGCTCCGCTCGCTGTCCTTTCACGACCTTCTATATTCGCAGTGATTCCGCACGTTGTTAATCTACCAGCCAGTTTACCAGGTTCTTAAAACTATACACGCCAGGTTTCCTTTAATGGCGTGCACAGTAACAGCAGCGTCACTAGCCAAGAGCTCGCTCGGCGCTCCCGTGGTGGCTGCAAAGGCGGAAAGCGCATCCACGCCGCAACGGTTAACAGTTTCTCCGCCACCTCGTTCTATCAGCGGTGGCGATGCTCCTGCTACGCGCCGGTCGAGGTCGACGGGAATCGCGAGGGGCAAGCCCTATGGAGTTGAACCGCATGTCAACCTTGTACGTTATCTATTCTGGGGGAAAACGTTATCTTCACCATACTCAGGAGATGAAATATGGTACCGTTCTCCATTATATGAGTTCGTTTCCTGATTTCGTTTCTTTCCCGAACTTTCCCGTTCGTTCGGCCGTTTACGGCTCGGTTGGGGTGGGCGCAGAACGAGATAAGCGAGGAGGAGAAGGCGCGGCTGGTGGAGGCGGCGCAGAAGAAGATCGCGGCGGAGCTGAAGGAGCGCGAGGAGAAGCTCAAGGCGGACGCCGCCAGGGCGCACCTGGACCACGAGCTCAAGTTCGGCAAGATGATGTTCGACCAGGTGCGTACGCGCTATAAGCTGTTTTGAGACGTCTAAGGTTTGATAGGCTGAGGCAGGCGCGGCAAGAGCACATCTGGACCACCAACTCAAGTCGGCAAGACTTCGACTAGGTGCGTACGCGCTATAGGTGGTTTAGAGGCAGCTTAAAAGTCGGAAAGCTGAGGCAGGATGCGGACAGAGCGCATCTGGACCAGGAAGTCAAGTTAGGCAAGATGATGTTAGACCAGGTGCGTACGCGCTGTGAGTGATGACGCCACGCACTGCCGCTCTCTGCTACTCACAATGTGTCTTGATTATTGATGGCCATATAACGACTCAACAGCGCAGCAGTTACGTAGTCTACGAGCATGCATGGTTGTTCTTTCTTACCCCTCCACTTTCCACTCCCTTCACAACCTCCCCCTACCAATCGCTCTACCCCACCCCACCCTCTTCCTGTTATCTTTCGATGTGCAAAGCGAATGCATGTGGAGCGAAAATGCAAGCAGAACGTAACCCACCCCCACTATATTTATAACGGGAGAATTATGAGGCGCCTACCAATATTACCTCTTGGGTGGCAGCGCTTGCCGAGTATGCGCCAGGATTGATGTTTCACGTTCCGTTCATTCCCAGCATTGATGGGATGGTGCCAGCATGATTTTAATGCCCTGGCATATCACAACAACGTGCTAAAGCAGCCTGTGTGCTTCTGCTAAGGGTCCTAACTCCTGCCGCGTGCCCTCCCACTTACCGATTCTATTCTCCTCCAGGGCAATTTCGAGACGGCAATGGCGCATTACAACAAGGTGCTCAAGCAACCTGTGTGCTTCTGCTAGCAATTTTAACTCCTGTCATCATGCCATGTGCGTCCCACCCATCCCTGTTCCTCCAGGGCAACTTTGAGACAGCAATGGCGCATTACAACAAGGTGTTGAAGCAAGCAGGCGAGCAGTCATACCACCACGGCGAGGCCACCCTGCAGAAGGCCGCGTGCCTGGAGAAGCTCGGGCGCGACGCCGAGGCCAAGAGCCTGTACGAATCCCTCATCCAGTTCCGCGCGCCCTACCCCAACATCAAGCGCCGCGCAGCGCAGGCTCTCTTCGGCACGGATGGGGAGGATCAGAAGGAGACGTCGCTGTTTGATGACTACATGTACCGCATGTTCCTGTCGGGGTTTGGACGGTACATGCCCAAGACTAAGTATGTGGAGACGAAGCAGGAGAAGATGGTGATTCAGCTGCTGCCGTGGACGATTCTGGCCATGGCTCCGCTGCTGTTTGTGTGGCTCATGATCCGAGGCAACTAGCTGCTGTTATGTGCGCCGCTCAGGAAAGGGTGTGGTGTGTGGTGACACTGAAATTATTTGGCCTATTGTGGGCCGCATCTCTTTTGTTTGTTTGTTTGTTTGTTTTTTTTTTTGTGGATTGTCGTGCTTGCTTTTGTGGGTTGTTTATTATCATATATGAGCCAGTTTGTACAGTTATACCTTAGCAGCATCCACAATGTTTCCAGTACAGTTCCGCACCATACTTCTTTCCATGGACGGTAAATGAGAATCGTAGGGCCTGTTCGGCTGGCGCACCAGCCTTCACATTTGTCTCTCGAGGATTCAGAAAGGAATTCAGTACAGTATGGAGGAAACGTCCTCGGCTTCGTCACTACGATTTGCTCTCAGCCGATTGGTTCATTCGGTGTTCCCACAACGGTAAGGGGCTTTACATGTGCTCACATTCGGTCCGCGGAAGCTGCTCTGACCTATCCTCAGTCAGACGTGAGTGCCACCGAACAAGGCCCGAGTCTTTTTCAACTCGATCACTACTACGCTAGGACAACATTGTGCATCCCACTCTTCGCCATTTTAGGTCTCCACTTGAGGGATCCAGGGCAGTGTCATAGACTACAGTAGGTACAGCATCGTGGGTAGTGGACCGCGTTTCTGGGTTGTGGGGCGTTAGTGAGCATATGGGCCCTTGATTGGCCATATCCACTCTGTCGAAAGGACAGTACCGTAGACATCCCGTCACGCTTGGCGCGAGAGAAATTGCGGAGACAATCCCAGCCATAAGGGTATTGAGAGAGAGTCCTACCGCGACGCGCAGGTGAAGTCCTATCTCCAGTTGGAATGCGAGCTTTGGACTCGCCCATTTCGCGAAACTTCATGAAAAGGGGAGGGCTTTGAACTGACGTGCAGCCCGCATTCAGCTCGTTGGGCGAACACTCATCGTCCTCCTCTCGTGTACCACCCCACTTTCCTACCGTCGTCACCTTCCTTCCTTCCTACCTCGTGTACCACCCCCGCCTTGTTCCCCTACTTTCCCGGGCCCCTCCTTTCCGTCCGCGTTCACCCATATGCACGCGCCCTGCCGCGTCCTCCCTTCTGCACGTGATCTGCCGCGCTGTCCAATCCGCATCGCGCCATGCTGCGTCCTCCCATCCACACGCGCTGCCGCCATCTCCCACCCGCCAGCGCCCTCCCGCCTTCTCCCATCCGCATGCGCATCCAAATCTCCTACATCAACCCCCCCCTTTCATTCTCCCTTCCTCGTGCTCCCCCTTTCAGTCGCCGTGCCTGTGGTTGCCCCCTCATATTCCCTACCGCATGCTACTTTGATAATATTTCCTACCTCACCCCACCCCACGCCCCACCCCCTCCTCCACCTCCCCACCTTTCGTTCTCTCTTCCTCCTGCTCCCCTTTCCAGTCGCAGTGCCTGTGGTCCTTCTTGGTGCTCGTGTTGAGTTCATGACATGGCGACCTTCGGCATTGAGGCGCAAGAGTAAGTTGCCATGTTGAGTAAGTTGCCATGTTGAGTAAGTTGCCATGTTGAGTAAGTTGCTGTGTTGAGTAAGTTGCCATGTTGAGTAAGTTGCTGTGTTGAGTAAGTTGCTGTGTTGAGTAAGTTGCTGTGTTGAGTAAGTTGCTGTGTTGAGTAAGTTGCTGTGTTGAGTAAGTTGCTGTGTTGAGTAAGTTGCTGTGTTGAGTAAGTTGCCATGTTGAGTAAGTTGCTGTGTTGAGTAAGTTGCTGTGTTGAGTAAGTTGCTGTGTTGAGTAAGTTGCTGTGTTGAGTAAGTTGCTGTGTTGAGTAAGTTGCTGTGTTGAGTAAGTTGCTGTGTTGAGTAAGTTGCCATGTTGAGTAAGTTGCTGTGTTGAGTAAGTTGCTGTGTTGAGTAAGTTGCTGTGTTGAGTAAGTTGCTGTGTTGAGTAAGTTGCTGTGTTGAGTAAGTTGCTGTGTTGAGTAAGTTGCTGTGTTGAGTAAGTTGCTGTGTTGAGTAAGTTGCTGTGTTGAGTAAGTTGCTGTGTTGAGTAAGTTGCTGTGTTGAGTAAGTTGCCATGTTGAGTAAGTTGCTGTGTTGAGTAAGTTGCTGTGTTGAGTAAGTTGCTGTGTTGAGTAAGTTGCTGTGTTGAGTAAGTTGCTGTGTTGAGTAAGTTGCTGTGCCCTTGTGCGTCCGTCCGCGCCCCTGTGCGCCCCTCCGCATTCTTGTGCGCCCTTCCCCGCTCTTCGTGCCCTTGTGCGCCCAAATCCGCAAGCTGCGTGTCACACACCCCTCCCGCTCCCCCCTCACCCACCCCACCATAATATCCCTTTCATCCCCGTTACAGTGTATTGCGAATTATCATACAGTTCTGCAAGGAGAACGCGCTGCAGCAGACGCTACAGGCGCTGCAGGAGGAGTGTCAGGTGCCCCTCAACACTCAGACCCCCCCCACCCACCCCCACTCCCCATGCCCTCCTTTTATCCCCGTTACAGTGTAGTGCGAATTATCCTACAGTTCTGCAAGGAGAACGCGCTACAGCAGACCCTACAAGCACTGCAGGAGGAGTGCCAGGTGCCGCTCAACACTGTTGACTCCCTCGAGACCTTCGCCGCTGACGTCAGCAACGGCCGGTGGGACGCGGTGCTCCCGCAAGTGGCCCAGCTGAAGCTTCCAAGAAAGAAGCTGGAAGACCTGTACGAGCAGGTGAGGACGGGAAGGTCTGCTCTTTATGTGCTGCCCGCGAAGGCGGGCGGGTGAGGACGTTTGTGTGCCTGCCAGGTAGTGGGATTGCGGGAAGTGCACAGCACGGGGAAAGTGCTTGATCACTGGGTGCAATAAATTTCAATCGTTGCTTTTTGGTCCTCCAAATTCCACCTCTCTCCACCTCACTCCACCTTACTTCACTACACTCCACCGCATTCCACCTGGCCCATGACCCCCTGGGCGGGACATCATTCTGGAGCTGGCGGAGCTGAGGGAGACGGAGACAGTTGATTATATCCTCAGACAGGCGCCCACCATGCCCCACCTTGTCCCACCTCTCTCCACCGCACTGCACCGCACTCCACCTGCCTCAAGCAGATCATTCTGGAGCTGGCGGAGCTGAGGGAGACGGAGACAGCCAAATCCATCCTCAGACAGACGCCCACCATGCTCGCCATGCGCCAGGTGCGCCAGTTGTGTGTATGCTGCGTGCTGACATGCCATTGCCATGCTGGTGTGTGTCATGCAGACGCCCAACCATGCGCGCCATGTGCCAAGTGGGTGGGTGTGTGCTGACATGCCACGCCATGCAACATGTGGGTCATATGCTAGCACGCTGGTACGTGCAATGGTTGTATGTTTCTATGTATGTATGTTTGTACTAGACAGGCACCTGCGTGCCAGTACCCTGTGTCTACTACTGCTACCCCTGTGACTCCATTCCACTGTCCCATGTGTTTCCAATGCAACCCCCACGACCCTGTCCCAACACCCCGCCCCTCCCCCGTTTCCCTCTCCGCCTGCCCACCAGGACCAACCTGATCGCTATCTTAAACTGGACCATCTTCTGGCGCGGGCATACTTCGACCCCCGAGAGGTGCCCTCGTGCCCCTCGCCTCTCGCCTCTCGCCTCTCGCCTCTTCCTTCTTGCTTCTCCGTTACTCATTCCTTGCTCTCATCACATACCAAAGAGGTGTATGCAAGTCCAGTGCTGTTGCTGCCGTGGTGGTGAGTGCAGGCATACGGGGATTCCACCAAGGAGAGGAGACGAGCAGAGATCGCACATGGTGAGAGGGACTTGACATGGAATGGCTGACATGACATGTGCACGCATGGTGGCAATAGTGGCATGGCATGGTATGCATGATAGGAGCTTGAGGAATGCGAGGCAGGGGCGATGAGAGGAAATCAGCCTATGGCTCAAGTACATCGAATCGCAGTGCATCGCATTGCACCGGGTTTCTGCTGCTGGTTTTCCCGCCAGCCCCTCCCGCTATCCACCTTATTGCTGTCATGGGGTCTGTCTGTCCCGCGGCACCCCTTCCTCTCCTCTCCATGCCTTGTTCCAGCGGAGTTCATTCAGTGGCCCTCTCCTCTCCTCCTATGCTCTCTGCTCCCCTCCCCTCCTCTCCTCTCCTCTCCTCCCATGCTCTCTGCTCCCCTTCTCTTCTCTCCTCTCATGCACTCCCCTCCACTCATCTCCTCTCATGCTCTCCACTCCCCTCCCCTCCTCCCATCGCGTCTACCCTGCTCTTCCTTCAATGTGTTTTCATTTCGTGGTCACCCCACATCCCACTTCCCCACTTCCCACTTCCCCACCTCCCCACCTCCACACCTCCCCACCTCCCACCTCTCCACCTCCCCACCTCCTCACATTCTCACCTCCCCACCTTCAAACCTCTCCACCTCTCCACCTCTCCGCCTCCTGACCTCCCCATCTCCCTTTCTCTCCGTGCCTTCATGCCTTACCAGGGCGGCCTCACGAGGCCAAAGTGCTCCCACCCTCTCCACTCATGCCCTCCTCTCATCTTCTACCCTCCTCTTCATTCTCCGCTGTTTTATTCTTCCTCCTTCGCCCCACCTCTCTACCTTCTCACTTTCCCACCTCTCTTTTTTCACCTGGCCACCTGGCCACCTGCCCATCGCCCCATCTACCCATGCGCCACCAGGTCTATCACAGGAGGTCACAGTGGTGCCGCCCTCGCGTCTCATGGTGCTGCTAGGCCAGGCGCTCAAGTGGCAGCAGCACCAAGGTCAGCCGTCTCTGTCACTGCACCATTCCCCCTGCCACCATGCCTGCACCATTCCCCCTGCCACCATGCCTGCACCATTCCCCCTGCCACCATGCCTGCACCATTCCCCCTGCCACCATGCCTGTGCCATACCCCTGCCTTCGTCCATGCCTTTACCATGTCGTGTCTCATGGTGAGACACGACAGCAGCAGTGAGGGCAGATGAGGACGGCTTGTGAGACGTGTGAAGACACAATGTGTCTGTTCCCGTGCGTGCATGCAGGTCTGCTCCCCCCTGGCACGCAGTTTGATCTCTTCCGAGGAACAGCGGCAGTGAAGGCGGATGAGGATGAGGCCTACCCCACTCAACTCCTGCACACCATCAAGGTGAGAAGAAGTTGTTTCACCCGAGCGAGCGGCAAGAGCTCGGAAAGTCGAGTATTGAGTCGACTCAAAACTCGGATGAGGATGAGGCGTTCCCCACTCAACTCCTGCACACCATCAAGGTGAGAAGAAGCTGGTTTTTTTCACCCGAGCGAGCGGCAAGAGCTCCGAAAGTATTTTAAGGGCGTCTAAATACGGGGCATACCCCACTCACACAACTCTTGCATACCATCAAGGTGAGAAGAAACGGGCTTGACTTGCAGCAGGAGGTGACCTGCAGCAGGAGTTGTGCCAAGCTTATTCCGCCCTCCCACATGTTTCCCTTGTGTTTCTTCACGAGTCCGCTTGTTTGGTTCTCATCCATCCACTCTGATCTGAGTTTCAAAGAAGAGCCACCGTTTATAACCTCGCTTGCTTCTACCTACTTTTCACCCTCGTTCGTTTTCCTTTTCTTTGCCTATATTGCCCTCCCTCCCGCCCTCTCCCGCTCGCCTCACTCAGTTTGGGAAGAAGAGTCACCCCGAGTCGGCTCGCTTTGCTCCTGACGGCCAGTGCCTTGCGTCCTCCTCCATCGATGGCTTTATCGAGGTGTGCGTGGTTGCAATGCAGTTAAAGTTGGTGCAGTGCGGTGAGAACGGGCGCTGAGCTTGCAGTTGCCGTGATTCATTCATTGGTTTCATGCAATTCAGTAAAGTGCATCGCGGGCCACTAGGCCTTCCCCCGCTGCTAATGCTCTGGCACGTTTCATTTGTTATAGGCACCTAAGAACTGTCTCGTTGCGTCCACGCCCTCACCGCCAGGCCCTCACCGCCAGGCCCTCACCGCCAGTGCTCTGTTCTCTGCTGATCTCCTTTCCCAACCCATGACCTGCTTTATCTTCACCTTTTTCTATGAAGCTTCATTCAGATCCATGAACCTCCGTGAGGCTGCTGTCTCAACCCCCTATTTGCCTTGCTGCCTGTCTGCACCTCCCCCCGCTCCCGCACTATCCCCACGTCACGTGTGCATGCGAGGGCAGATATGGGACTTCCTCTCGGGCAAGCTTAAGAAGGACCTGCAGTACCAAGCAGAGGTGCGTGGACATGTGTGTGGGCACGTGTGTGGGCATGTGTGTTGGCATGTGTGTGGGCATGTGTGTTGGCATGTGCGTGGGCATGTGTGTTGGCATGTGCGTGGGCATGTGTGTTGGCATGTGCGTGGGCATGTGTGTTGGCATGTGCGTGGGCATGTGTGTGTTGGCATGTGCGTGGGCATGTGTGTTGGCATGTGCGTGGGCATGTGTGTTGGCATGTGCGTGGGCATGTGTGTGGGCATGTGTGTGGGCATGTGTGTGGGCATGTGCGTGGGCATGTGCGTGGGCATGTGCGTGGGCATGTGTGTGGGCATGTGTGTGGGAGATGAGCAAATGGCCCGGCCTGACCTGACCCGACCCGACCCGACCTGGCCGGGGCACACGGGCTCCCGGGTCGGGTCGGGTCGGGCCAGGCTCGGGCCAGGTTCCTGAAACTTCTGGCCCGACCCGGGCCTACACACTCAGGTCAACTTGGACCTGGTCGCGGGTCGGGTCGGGTCGGGTCGGGCCAGGCTGACCCGCCCCTTTATAGAGGGCAGTGGTGTTTAGGGTCTGTAGTGGAACGCGCGTGTTTTTGTTCTAAGACAAAGCGTGCAGCCTCTAAGGTGAAATCGCGCTAGTACAACGCGAAATCGTGACATACGCTATCCCAACAGCGCGATTTCCTAAAACTGCAGATTAACACCTTCGTAGTAGCAAGATATGTCGGATAACATGCTTTCCTAGGCTGGATACTAACTTATAACTTAGCTTAGGTGACATTAGTGGCTGAACTCTGGCGCCAAGGCGCGTGGGAAGGTTCTGATGTCGAGGGTAAAAAATCCCCTCGACATCAAATTTGTTTAGGGTTTTGTACACTGTACAGTTGAAATCGGGTCGGGCTTGGTCCTGACCCGAATTCGGGTCGGGTCAAGCCTGACCCGAAACCCGACCCGACTCGGCCCGAGTCCCATCCTCGGGTCGGGTTTTAGCCCGGGTCGGGTCGGGTCGGCCCGCACGGGGCAGGCAAATGAATCCACGGACCCGGCCCGGGCTAAACCACGGGTCGGGTCGGGCCGGCCCGACCCGCGCGGGGCAAATGCTCATCTCACAGTGGGCATGTGTGTGGGCATGTGTGTGGGCATGTGTGTGGTAGCATGACATGAAGGCTGGAAACATCTGTAGCGTCAAGTAGTGGTGGTTGGTTGGCTGCATGGATGGTTGAAAGGATGATGGCATGGGAGTGGCCAGTGCTGTGTGCATCGGCAGTCTGGCTCTTGCTTACAATCAACCCCACCCCGCCCTACCCTGTCCCACTCCTAGGTGACGGTCATGATGCATGAAAGGGAGTGCTGTGTGTGTGCATCAACCAACCTTCCACATCCCGCCCCACCCCACCCCACCCCACCGCACCCCACCGCACCCCACCCCACCCCATCCCACCCCACCCCACCGCACCCCACCCTCCAAGCGGCGTTCATGATGCATGAGGCGGTGCTGTGTGCCAGAGTGTGCTGTGTGTGTGCATCAACCAACCCTCCACATCCTGCCCCATCCACCCCACCCCATCCCACCCCATCCCACCCCACCGCTCCCTACCCCACCCCACCGCACCGCACCCCACCGTGCAGGCGACGTTCATGATGCATGAGGAGGCGGTGCTGTGTGTGGGGTGGAGCCGAGACTCGGAGATGCTGGCCTCGGGGTCGCAGGACGGCAAGATCAAGGTGACCAGCGTGCTGCTGGGGCTGGGTTGGGCATATGGTGCATGTTCATTGTTCCATGTTGCATTGCTTTGCTGCTTGCCCCGGGGTCACAGGACGGCAAGGTTATGGTGACTGGTGGGTGCATGGTGCATGGTGCATGGTGCATGGTGCGTGGTGCTGTGTGTGGTGCGTGGTGCATGGTCCATGTTCCTTGCTGCATCTGCCATGGGTGCAGGCATCTCGATGCCACGGCAATGCACAGTCCTTCACAGCTTCTAGTGCCTCGCAACACGCTCCCCTCACGCCCTCTTCTCTACACTCCACCCCCTCCTCTCTCCACCCCCTCCTCTCTCCACCCCCTCCTCTCTCCACCCCCTCCTCTCTCCAACCCCTTCTCTCCCTTCCACCGCGCACAGGTGTGGCGGGTGCGCACAGGGCAATGTCTGAGGCGGTTTGACAAGGCACACTCACAGGGAGTCACCTCCTTTCCCCCTCGTCTTCCTCTCTTCTCTCTTCCATCTCTCCCCCATCCTCCCCCAGGTGTGGCGGGTGCGAACAGGGCAGTGTCTGAGGCGCTTTGACAAGGCGCACTCACAGGGAGTCACCTCTGTCGCGTTTTCTCGGGATGGCAGTCACCTGCTCAGCGCCTCCTTTGATGGCACCGCCAGGTATGGCGCTCTTTTGATGGCACCACCAGGCATGGCGTGGCGCTCCGTATTGCTGTCTCTTCTGCGAACTTCAATTGTCTTATCATGCATATTTCACGCTCTCTCCCTCTTGTTCACTTCCCCAGGGTGCACGGGCTCCAGTCAGGCAAGACCCCCAAGGAGTTTTACGTTGATTTTTAAGTTTGAGAATTCTCAAAAGGGGCGCATGTCTTTTGTCAACGATGCTGTCTATTCTGCTGATGCTGCCCACATTGCCATGTCTAACTAACTCATGCGCTCCCTCTATTCATGCTTTCCGTTTTCCCACTTGCTCCCTCGTTCAGGGTGCATGGGCTCAAGTCAGGCAAGACCCTCAAGGAGTTTCGAGGGCACACCTCGTTTGTTAACGATGCTGTGTATTCTGCCGATGGTGGCCGTGTTATCACTGCCTCCTCCGATGGCTCTGTCAAGGTGATGTGCTGTGCATTTCGGTGATATAAGGTGCAGTGCGGTGATATGAGGTGCAGTGCGGTGATATGAGGTGCAGTGCGGTGATATGAGGTGCAGTGCGGTGATATGAGGTGCAGTGCGGTGATATGAGGTGCAGTGCTGAGTGTGTGTCGTGTGAGGGAAAATGGTGTGCACCAGCGAGGGCGTGATGATGGGTGCATTTAGGCGTGGGGATGGGTGCATTTAGGCGTGGGGATGGGTGCATTTAGGTGTGAGGATGGGTGCATTTAGGTGTGAGGATGGGTGCATTTAGGTGTGGGAATGGGTGCATTTAGGTGTGGGAATGGGTGCATTTAGGCGTGAGGATGGGTGCATTTAGGTGTGGGAATGGATTCACGTAGTGATGGGTGCATCACTCGACCGGTGCATTTAGACGCTAGGAGGACTTCGAATCCTCAACTACACTGACCTCAATACTCCATCAAACAACACTCATCCGTCCCAATCTCTCCCCACCCCTCCTCCTCACCCCCTCGTCCCCCTCCACCTCTTCCCACCCATCCTCACCCCTAACCAGGTGTGGGACGTCAAGTCACTCGAGTGCTTGCACACGTTCAAGCCACCACCACCCCTCCGAGTGAGTCGCATCCCGTGCTGCCCTGCCTATCCCTCTCACGCCCTCTCAGCCCTGCCTGTCCCTGTTCCCCCTAGTCAGCCTTATCTAACCCTGACCGTCAACCCTCCTCTTCACTCATTCTCCTTCCCCATCGTTCAGCTGCACTCCAATCCCTCTGTACCCACCTTCCTGAGTCGACTCAAAAGTCAACTAAAATTTTCACTCAAAACTGGGCTAAGACATTGACCCAATTCTCTCCTTCACTCAATCTCGTTTCCCCATTGTTGATCTGCCCTCCAGTCCCTCTAGCCCACCATTTGTTTTCCTAGAGGTGCACACTTATCACTCATCTATGTCCTCCCCTCTAGCCTCCATCTCTACTGCTCCGTCTCTGTGTCTCTCGTATGTGCTGCCCTGTTTCATTCCTGTGCACGGCTGAGAAGCATCAGTCATCACAGCACTCCTCTCCCCCCCAACGAACATTGAGGCGCCTCAAGAGTTTCCTCTGCACGGCGGAGATGCGTCAGTCACCAGAGTGCCCCTATCTCCCCGCAACATGGGCCATGTCATTGTGTGTAACCGCTCCTCCCCCATCTTCCATCTTCCCTTCTTCCGCGCTCTTTCCCCTGCATACAGGGAGGAGACGCATCAGTGAACACGGTGCTCCTCTCGCCGCGCAACGTGGACCATGTGTTTGTGTGTAACCGCTCCTCTTCCATCTTTCTCATGACGCTGCAGGGCCAGGTGGGTGTGAGTGAGGGAGGTGGAATGTAAGAGAGGTGGGTGCGGTGGGTGTGGGGAATGGGTCAGTGTGATGTGGGTGCAGCCAGCGCAGGCTGATACACAGCTTCGCATGGGGGGGAAGAGGGAGGGCGGCGGAGGCGTAGCTGGTTGGCCTTGTGACCAGATGCTGTGCCTCATGTAGCCGTACCCAAGCAGCCACGCCATGCACCCACGCACCCACGCATACCCCATACCACCCATGCACCCACGTACACATGCACCCACGTACCCATGCACCCACGTACCCATGCACCCACGTACCCATGCACCCACGTACCCATGCACCCACGTACCCATGCACCCACGTACCCATGCACCCACGTACCCATGCACCCACGTACCCATGCACCCATGTACCCATGCACCCACGTACCCATGCACCCACGTACCCATGCACCCACGTACCCATGCACCCACGTACCCATGCACCCACGTACCCATGCACCCACGTACCCATGCACCCACGTACCCATGCACCCACGTACCCATGCACCCACGTACCCATGCACCCACGTACCCATGCACCCACGTACCCATGCACCCACGTACCCATGCACCCACGTACCCATGCACCCACGTACCCATGCACCCACGTACCCATGCACCCACGCACCCACGCATACCCCACGTACCCATGCACCCACGTACCCATGCACCCACGTACCCATGCACCCACGCACCCATGCACCCATGTACCCATGCACCCATGTACCCATGCACCCATGCACCCATGTACCCATGCACCCACGTACCCATGCACCCATGTACCCATGCACCCATGTACCCATGCACCCATGTACCCATGCACCCACGTACCCATGCACCCACGTACCCATGCACCCATGTACCCATGCACCCACGTACCCATGCACCCATGTACCCATGCACCCATGTACCCATGCCCTGATCAGGTGGTGCGCAGCTTCACATCAGGCAAGAGGGAGGGCGGTGACTTCGTGGCGGCGTGCCTGTCCCCCAAGGGCGACTGGATCTACTGCATGGGCGAGGACGCGTGAGTGCCTGTGTACATTATATTATGCCCATGTGTGGAGTGCACTGGCTGGTGGGTGTGGTCACTGCTGCCCGCCCCCGTGCCTGTCCCCCAAGGGCGAGTGGATGTACTGTATGGGCGAGGATGCATGAGTGCCTTCTGGTGGCATGGTGTGTGCACCAATGTTCACCCATGTGCACCCATGTGCACCGGTGCCCATGGTGTGGAATGCACTGGCTGGTGGGTGTGTATGCTGCTGCCTCTCCCCGTGCCTCCCTCCCAAGGGCTAGTGTGTATCTCTAGTGTATGGGCAAGGATGTGTGGGTGCTTGAGTCACATAACGCTTTCATGGCATGGGCGAGGGTGCGTGAGTGCTGGCTGAGGTTCATCAGGCAACAACAAGCCACCGAGGTGCACAGTGATTGCTTGCTGGGCTGTGGTGGACAGAGCAACTCGCACCAATCCTTTTATCACTTCACTCTCCTCACCCTCTGTCCCCTCTGCACAGCACTCCTGCTCTGCACACCACTCCCACTGTGCATTTAATTCTGCCCGCCATTGTCACTCCCTCATTGTCCTATTTCACCTTCCCTTCCCTTTTTCTCCCCTCTCATGCTCTCCACTCCCCCCTGCAGCAACATGTACTGCTTCAGCTTTCAGAGTGGCAAGCTAGAGCATCTCATGAAGGTATGTTTCTGTCTGTGTATGTGTGTGTGTGTGTGTGTGTGTGTGTGTGTGTGTGTGCGTGCGTGCGTGCGTGCGTGCGTGCGCGCGCGCGCGCGCGCGTGCGGGGTGTGTGTGTGTGTGTGTGTGTGTGTGTGTGTGTGTGTGCGTGCGTGCGTGCGTGCGTGCGTGCGTGCGTGCGTGCGTGCGTGCGTGCGTGCGTGCGTGTGCGTGTGTGCGTGTGTGTGTGTGTATGTTGGCTAAGCATTACGTGGCACCCATGGCATTGAAAACAATTCACCTCTGCACATTTAGGTGATGAATATCCTGTTGAGACTCTATCACTATCTACACTTCGTACCCATGTGTATGCATGTGCATGTGCATGTGCACGTCCATGTGCATGTGCATCCATCCATCATCTGTGTGTATGTGAGCAGGTACATGACAAGGATGTGATAGGTATCACCCACCATCCCCATCGCAACCTCATTGCGACTTACAGTGAAGATTGCACCCTCAAGCTATGGCAGCCCTAGTCCTGCCTGTCTATGAGCCTTGAGGCACTTCAAAATAATGCCGTCTAACAGTTCAATTCCACACTAGTCTCGCATACCATATTCCCCCAAATCAAACACCCCAGGTTCTCAAATTCTCTAATATGTAAAATATATAGCATCTAGGTGCATGGACGTGTATCAAATATACCGTACAATAGGGGGATGTGTTACAAGATCCAAATTTGTGAACAACCACCTGCATGATACCATAGTCAGGGCTTGGGGATGCTCTTGCCACTGTGATGCAGCAAATATCTGATGATCGCTAGGTGCAACGCAGTGCTGTGTGGTACGATACCCCTCACTCATTACAAAAAACAGAAGGATGAAATCCCTGAAGTGGAACCATCACGACGAGGCTTACTGGTAGCCTAGGGGGTGCCGCCGCCTCTCCTGGGGAATGCAGTACAATCTGCAAGGGACTGCTTTTGAGCCGACTCACAAGCAGAAATCATGATGCTTGGGGCGAGGGATGACGGGGCAGGAGGGCATCAACGTCAATAACGTCACTGAAGAATACACCACGCGGTAGGTCTGCCAGGGACGGCGGCACCTTATCAGGAGTCAACCCCTCACAGCCCAAGAAAATCACAGTTCTTGTGGCGAGACATGGTGATGCACGAGGGCATCAACGTCAATAACGTCACTGAAGAATACACCACGCGGTAGGTCTGCCAGGGACGGCGGCACCTTGTCAGGACTCAACCCCTCACACCCCTCCAGCACAAACAGGCGCAGGCGCATCAACGTGCCGATGGCGCTTGGGAGCGATTGCAGGCTGAATGCCTCTGTCAGTACGAGGCTGAGAGAGGGCGCAGGACGGCGGGGTGACAGGGAAGAGGGCAGGAGAGAACGCTGGGAAGACGGGAGGAGAGAAAACGGGGAACAAAGAGAGAAGAATGTGGGGGAGACAAAAGCAAAGGGGAAGGAGGAAAGGAAGGACGGAAGATAGATAGAAGGAAGATAGAGTCATGAGTCATGGCAACAACAGTAGCTTGCAGCACTCACCGCTCTAGCTTTGATAGCTGTGGCAGCGATGGTGGCAGGGCGGAAAGGCTGTGGCAGCCCAGCAGGTCAAGCACCCTCAGAGAGCGAGCAAGAAGGTGCATGCAGGGCGGGAGGGCGAGGAGGGCGGGGCATGTGTGCAGGCGCAGGGAGGAGAGGTGCGGGAGGAGGGCGAGCGAGGACGGGAGGTGAGTGAGGGAGGTGAAGGAGGAGAGTGTGAGGTGGCGCAGGGAGGAGAGGGCAGAGATGGAGTCAGGGAGAGTGGCTGCGTGGGGGCTTGGCATGAGGGGAGGAGGTGGTGCAGTCTGGGCACAGGGGTTGTGGGTGTTATGAGGGTTGTGGGTGTTATGAGGGTTGTGGGTGTTATGAGGGTTGTGGGTGTTATGAGGGTTGTGGGTGTTATGAGGGTTGTGTGCATTGAAGTTATGAAAGGCAGGGAAGGCAGATGTGGGAGGGGAGGGAGGGCAGGCATGCAGCACGAGGGAGGAGAGGCGAGTGAGGGGCGCCAGGGACGGCAGCAGTGCTGCCAGGAACGCCATGTGCTGCTCCCCTCCTCCTGTACCCCTTCCTCCCTGCCAGCATGGTAACTCCAGCTGCTCCAATCTCGTCAGCCCCCCAAACGCTGTAAGCTGCTCGCTCACTCTCCCCACAACTCGCCCTGTGGCCTCCTCGCCCTCCTCTCCTGCCTCCTTACCCTTCCCCTTTGCCTCCTCGCCCTCCCCTTTTGGCTCCTCGCCCTCACACCACTGGCAGGAGCGCACAGTGAGGGCAGTGAGCGCCACGCAGTGCAGCCCGCCAGGCGGAGACAGCAGGAACGCCGGCAGAGGAGAGGCATGACAAGCCCACGAGGTGCTGCTGCCCTCCCCTACGTGGACATTGCCCTCCCTCTCGCCCTGCTCACCCCGTCCTGGTTGTGGCGGCCCCTCCCCTATGTGCTCCAGTAGTAGGTTTGTGAGGTGCGAGGCCCGCGCGAGGGAGAGAGGCAGTGCGGTGAGGGACGGCAGGGAGGCGAGATGCAGGGAGATGAGTGAGGGGAGGTGGCCGATGCGAGAGGGGAGTGAGGAGAGGCGAGGGAGGGAGGAGACGTGGAGGTGAGAGAGGAGAGGGAGGGAGCAGAGGGAGGAGGGGAGGTGCGCGAGAGAGGGGAGGGTGGAGAGGAAAAGGTAGCGAAGGTTGGTGAGGAGAGTGAGGGAGTCGGGGCAAGAGGCGAGGAGGGGGAGGTGGGAGAGTGCGAGGGTGTGGAGGGAGGCGAGGGAGGGGAGCGAGGACGGGAGGATGGAGAGGGGTGGGAGAGAGGCGAGGTCCGAAGGGAGGGAGGGATGGGAGGGGGGGTGGAGGAGAGGCAGGCGTTGGGGAGGAGCAAAAGGACGGGGGGGAGGCCAGGTGAGGTCTACTGCATTGGCATCATGGTGGAGCATGGCGCTGTGGCTGGGACGCATGGTGCCACTGGCAGGCACACGACCAGCAGCAGCACCAGCAACACCACCACCGGCACCAGCAGCACCAGCAACACCACCACCGGCACCAGCAGCACCAGCAACACCACCACCGGCACCAGCAGCACCAGCAACACCACCACCGGCACCAGCAGCACCAGCAACACCACCACCGGCACCAGCAGCACCAGCAACACCACCACCGGCACCAGCAGCACCAGCAACACCACCACCGGCACCAGCAGCAGCAGCAGCAGCAGCAGCAAGACATTGAACTGCTGAGAGCCAGTGCTCCACGTGATGCTCTCCGCCCTGCATGTCCGTATCACTCCCTGCCATCCCCATGCCGCCCCCTTCCCCCATGCCGCCCCCTTCCCCCATGCCGCCCCCTTCCCCCATGCCGCCCCCTTCCCCCATGCCGCCCCCTTCCCCCATGCCGCCCCCTTCCCCCATGCCGCCCCCTTCCCCCATGCCGCCCCCTTCCCCCATGCCACCCCCTTCCCCCATGCCGCCCCCTTCCCCCATGCCGCCGCCCGCCACTCTCCCGCCCAGCACGAGCAGCTCGAGAAGAGAGAGGCCGGCCAATGCGGGCGGTGGGAGAGAGGCGAGGCACGGGCAGGAGAGGAGCGTGAGGGCTCGGAGGGAGGAGAGGAGGGAGAGGGAGGAAGGAAGGGAGAGAAGGAGGTCACTGGAGGTGATTGAGAGGGATTGAAGGGATGGGAGCAGCGGGCAGGGTGGGGAAGGGTGCGTGGAGGAGGGGAGGGGGAAAAGTGCGATGGGGGTATCTCGGAGGGAGAGGGAGGAGAGGCGAGGAAGGAAGGCGATTGACTCGGGCAGCTCGACCAGCCGGTCGCAGCCAGTCACGGTGAGACACGTCAGTTGGGACAGCTGACCGAGTGTATCGGGCAGAGAAGAAAGAAGCGGCATATCGGCGAGGGAGAGGGAAGCGAGAGAAGACAACTGGCCGAGGGAGGCGGGGAGGGCGGAGAGGGCAGGGCAGGAGAGGGAGAGGGAGGTGAGGGAGGAGAGGGTGGAGAGCGAGGCAGGGAGGGATGTGGTTTTCCTGCAGTGGACGAGCGTCAGGTGAACCAGCCCTGTCAGCTGCCCCACCGACTCAGGCAGCAGCGAAAGGTCCCCCAGCGAGGACAGGCGCAGGGAGTGCAGAGCGAGCAGGCGACCAAGGGAGTGTGGTAACCGGGTCAGGGCGAAGTTGTTGGCGATGGTGAGGTGGGATAGGCGAATCAGGCTGCCCATCGATTCGGGCAGCTCGCGGAGCTCGAAGCAGTCCGCCAGGTGCAGCTCCCGCAAGTTTTCAAGCTGCCCGAGGGTCTCGGGCAGGCGTTCAAAGGAACCGGAGAGGTGCAGGCGGTGTAGATTGGAGAGACGAACCAAGGCGCCGGGGAGGGAGTGAAGGGCAGGCGAGGAGAGGTGAAGGGATTTCAGGGAAACTAGGTTGCTGACGTCATCGGGCAGGGAGGAGAGGGACGGGAGGGACAGGTGCAGCGAGGTTAGGCCGGCGAGACGGCAGACGGCGGGCGGCAGCAGGGGCAGCGTCGCGGCATGCAGCAGCAGCGAGCGCAGCCGCGGCAGCGCGCGCAGTGCTGCGCCGACGGCCTCCGCGCTCACGGGGGAGTATTCCGGGCGGAGGCGGAGGGCGGAGAGGTGCGGGCAGGCGGTGGGCAATGCGCGGAGAAGGGGGTCGGTCATTGGAAGGACGCTGCGGGAGGGAAGGTCGAGAGAGGTGAGGTGGGGGAAGCGCGAGAGGGAGAGGAGGAGCGACTGTAGCGGGAGTTGGAGGAACTCTCTAACGCGTATGGTAGTCTGCGCGTGACACGCGAGGCGGTGCCATCGCTTGCACACAAGCGCGTGGGCGAAAGCGACGCCGTGATCGGCGCAGTTATGGCCGTCGTCTCCGTCATCGTCGGAATCGTCGGAATCGCCGCAATCGCCGCAATTGGCGCCATTGCTGCCGCTGCCGGCGCTATTATCGACGCGCCCGTCGGCAGCGAGGAGGCGGAAGATTCGGAGAAGGAGGTGGTCCGGCAGGCGGGAAAAGGGCGACGGATGGAACTCGTGGGATGGGAGGAGGGAGCTGGGACGATCGGAGGGAGGAGAGAAGGGAGGGGCTGAAGTCGCCATGGACGAGGAAAACGGGCTTGTGACAGGCGAGAGGAGAGTGACAAGCTGATTTGCACTAGATCGAAATTTGTTCCGAACGCGGAGAAATCAATGCTTCTTTGTGAGAGTGAAAGTGGCGGGGCATAACAGAAGGGGTTGGACGATAACGTTGTTGCGCTATAAGCTCTGTACAGATCTACCGAGACAGAAGTTACAATTCCCTAAAATGCTTCAATCTCTTCCGTCACTCATACTCGTACCACTTATCAAGGGTTCAAGGGTTCTAGGGTGTCACACATTTTGCAAAATTATCTACGGTTATGCAGATTTTGTGAAACGATCCTGTTCAACTTCTGCTAGTTTGTTCATTTGTTAATTCTTATGGCTCACTCAGCTAAGAGTGTTAGTGCAATTGCCAGTACGAACCAAATATTATTTGCCACATCCCCAGCATATGACCCCATGCCATCCCCAGGCCCGTTCCCGCGTGGCGACGGAATTCTAGCTGGTGTGATGTGTCATTGACCAACCCGCGAGACAGCATACGGCGACCCCATGCCATCCCCAGGCCCGTTGCCATGTGGTGACGGCACTCTAGCTGGTGTGATGTGTCATTGACCAACCCGCGAGCCAGCATATGACCCCATGCCATCCCCAGGCCCGTTGCCACGTGGCGACGGCACTCTAGCCAGAGCGGTCCATGCCACGTCAGCATCCTCGTCACCCTCCAGCAGTACAAGGGCAGATGCCACTGACGCACGCAACTCGTCTAGCCGCGACTGCGAAGCGGACAGGTGCATGGGGTGTGACATGTGCGGGTGCTCTAGCACTGACCCTGAGAAACGTGCCTCTGACATTGACCCAGACCCTGACTCTGCTGAGTGTGGTTCCAGTGCTGCTGCTGCTGCTGATTCTGGTGGTGGTGGCATGAGTGGGGATGCTGCTGCTGCAGCTGTTGGTGGTGTTGCCGCTGCTGCTGCTGATGTGTCTGGGACAGTGAGGGCGTCTAGAATGGGCCAGGCGGCAGAGAGGGCTTCGGCCACTCGTATTCTGACATTTGGCACGTTGTCCTGTGGGGAGACGATGGGGTGGGGAGACAGAAGAGGAAGGGTGTAAGAAGACTGCAGGAGGACAGGGACGAACATGGAACACAGAATGCCAGTCGGAAAAGAGTGCTCGTCAGAATGAGGGTTGAAATTATCCAAATAAATTACACTCCTTGGTGGGTTTGAGCTGGGAAAAGGCTTACATAGACGAGGGGGAGCAGAAGAGGGAGGATGGCGGAGAGAAGCAGATGCATGGAGATGGGCGTTGGGCTGACAGGGGACGGCTACAGGAGGACAGGAGGGAGGGTGCGTGGAGGGGTGTGGGTGTGTGTGTGCGCTGGCAGGAGGGAAGGAGTGTGATGGTGAGGCAAGGAGAGGTGCTGCCAGGGTTGGTCCGATGCAGTCCAGCAGCTCCGTACAAGCTATGCCGAACCTGCGGAGAGGTTTAACAGGAAGCGAATTGGAATGGGAGAGAGGCTTATCAGAACATGCTTAAAGCATGGACGTGGGGCATGTAGACAAGCTTATAGCCTCTATGGGACAGAGAGGCTGTGCCGAATACTAAACGTAAACAAATGCAATTATTACAGTGAAGCAACAAGAAAAGGAAAAAAAAAGAGACAAGCTGAATCAAGAGGGGGCAAAGAAAGATGAGGGGAGATGAGCGGAGAGGAAGGGAGAGCAGCGGAGAGCAGAAAGTACGTTTGGCGGTCGCGGAAGTTGCGACTCGAGGCGAGGCCCGCCAAGGCAGCAAGGAGAGCTTCGGAGGCAGATGCATCAGAGTCGGGGGGATGGGAAACGGGGGGAGGGGAAACAGCGGGAGATGTATGGACCCCCGGGTGAGAGGCAGGGTGTGGATGAGCGCCATTCACAGAAACTGTATTGGTAGAGTGAGTGGTCTCAGAGGCATGCTGGGGATCTCTTTGGTGACCATGCGTGCTTCCATGCACCCTGTTCTCATGCAACATTTCGTGTTCATGCACCCTGTTCTCATGCAACATTTCGTGTTCATGCACCCTGTTCTCCTCACCCTGCTGCTCACAACTGCCCCCGCTCTCACCATCCCCCCGCTTCCCTCCACAACTGCTCTCCCCACCATTACTCTCCCCCCTATTGCTGGCCCCATCGCCCCCCCTTGCTTCACCCTCTCCATGCACAGTGCTGCTGCTGCTGTTGCCCGAACCACCGTGAGGCTCGGCAGCATACAAGTCTGCTGCAAGAGGCCCGGCACAAGAGGAGGCAGTAGAATGAGGTTCGACAGATGAGGGTTCAGCAGGCTCGCATGCAGCAGATGCACATGAATCCACACATTCTGAATGACCTGCCGAGCCCTGTCTTGCTGACGTGGCAGGAAGTGTTGGTTCGCATGTCAGCGACGAGTGGCATGCTGACGTGGCAGGTGCTGATGATGCGGATGTGGCAGCTTGCAGTGATGCTGACGTGGCGGCGGACAACGTAGTGAGGGTCAGAAGCTTGGCAGCCTGATGGGAGCAAGGTGATGGGAGGGAAGGGATGAAAGGAGGGGGGCAAGGAATGTGGATAAGGAAACAAGAGGAGGTTGGCTGGAAGGTGGGAAAGAAGTGACGGCGTATGGAAAGAAGAAATGAAAGGAACGCAACAGGGGGAAGGGGGAGGACGAGACGGGGAAAAAAGCAAGCGGGCAGCAGGAGGGAGCGAGCAGTAAGCAGAACACGCATGCGTGCATTGCCAGTTGCGACTGCAACCGTAATTATCACTGTAACCCTTGCCGTAACTGAACCATAACCGAAACCGTAACTGTAATGTAACCATAACTGTGACCTCAAGCTTTAATCTCCCCAGTGAAAACCACATTCCTGGTAACATTCACATGCCCCCCCATCCCACAACACCCGCGTCCCCCCTCACCTGTCTGGCTGCCTCCTCCCTCACAGTGGCGATTCGATCCCTGCACGCAGCGAATGCGGGTAATGAGTGGCCGTGTGCAGGGGGAGAAGGGGGGGGAATTGAGACAAGAGGCAGGCACGAAGGGGCAGGGAGGAACGAGGAGCAGGGAGAGAGCGGGAAGAGGGGAGAGCAGTCGTTGTTCCTTGCACCAGTCGTTACCTGCGCACGATTACACCTCCACCAGTCATTACCAGCACCAGTTGTAACCTGCACTAGATGTCTCCTACACTGCACCGATGGTTACCTGCATTGGTTGTCACCTACACCCGTTACTTGCCCTGGCTGCTACCTGCACCAGAAGCAGATGTACCTGCAGAGGGAGAGAACGAGGTTGATGAGGAGCGGCAGGACGGCGCTGTTGGGCGGCAGCAGCTGCGCCACTCCTGACGCTTGGCTGGGGGGGTTGGGAGGGGGGAGACAGGGGGAATGAGGGAAAGATGGAGTACGAGGGGGAGAGAAGGAAGACGGGACAGAAAAAGGGAGACAAGGCAGGAAGGAGAGAGGGAATGGGATGTCAAGTCAAGACAGAAAGTGATGGCCCCAAGGGTCGGGAAAGGGGCAAGGGACACGAGCAGCAGCAGGTACAGGATCGCAATGTGCCCAGCTGTACGGTCGCTCGCATCACCTCTAGCACAGACATTGCAGCGCAGCCAGGCGGAGGAGCCAGCACCTCTATATCACTGCCCGTCCTTTCCCAGCAGTTGCTTTCCGACTGTGAGGTCACGTAGTCACCTGACCAAGTATACAGCCGCCCACCTGAGCACAGCCGCCCACCTGAGCACAGCCGCCCACCTGAGCACAGCCGCCCACCTGAGCACAGCCGCCCACCTGAGCACCTGAGAGCAGCGAGGCGCAGGTGCCAGGAGCTCTCCCGGCCGGCGACCCGCATCTGGGGGCGCATGCGGTTGCGGCTGGGGAGGGCCCTCAGCTGCACCTGCACACTCGGGTTGCTGCCATTCCAACACAGCCCTCCTGCTCGTGCGTGCATCTCTCTCCAGCTATACACCCAACAGCACAGCCACTCACCTGAGAGCAGCAAGGCGAAGGTGCCAGGAGCTGTGAGATCAGGTGAGGGCGCAAAAAGCCATACAGCACCCACCTGAGAGCAGCAAGGCGAAGGTGCCAGGAGCTGTGAGATCAGGTGAGGGCGCAAAAAGCCATACAGCACCCACCTGAGAGCAGCAAGGCGAAGGTGCCAGGAGCTGTGAGATCAGGTGAGGGCGCAAAAAGCCATGCAGCACCCACCTGAGAGCAGCAAGGCGAAGGTGCCAGGAGCTGTGAGATCAGGTGAGGGCGCAAAAAGCCATGCAGCACCCACCTGAGAGCAGCAAGGCGAAGGTGCCAGGAGCTGTGAGATCAGGTGAGGGCGCAAAAAGCCATGCAGCACCCACCTGAGAGCAGCAAGGCGAAGGTGCCAGGAGCTGTGAGATCAGGTGAGGGCGCAAAAAGCCATGCAGCACCCACCTGAGAGCAGCAAGGCGAAGGTGCCAGGAGCTGTGAGATCAGGTGAGGGCGCAAAAAGCCATACAGCACCCACCTGAGAGCAGCAAGGCGAAGGTGCCAGGAGCTGTGAGATCAGGTGAGGGCGCAAAAAGCCATACAGCACCCACCTGAGAGCAGCAAGGCGAAGGTGCCAGGAGCTGTGAGATCAGGTGAGGGCGCAAAAAGCCATGCAGCACCCACCTGAGAGCAGCAAGGCGAAGGTGCCAGGAGCTGTGAGATCAGGTGAGGGCGCAAAAAGCCATGCAGCACCCACCTGAGAGCAGCAAGGCGAAGGTGCCAGGAGCTGTGAGATCAGGTGAGGGCGCAAAAAGCCATGCAGCACCCACCTGAGAGCAGCAAGGCGAAGGTGCCAGGAGCTGTGAGATCAGGTGAGGGCGCAAAAAGCCATGCAGCACCCACCTGAGAGCAGCAAGGCGAAGGTGCCAGGAGCTGTGAGATCAGGTGAGGGCGCAAAAAGCCATGCAGCACCCACCTGAGAGCAGCAAGGCGAAGGTGCCAGGAGCTGTGAGATCAGGTGAGGGCGCAAAAAGCCATGCAGCACCCACCTGAGAGCAGCAAGGCGAAGGTGCCAGGAGCTGTGAGATCAGGTGAGGGCGCAAAAAGCCATGCAGCACCCACCTGAGAGCAGCAAGGCGAAGGTGCCAGGAGCTGTGAGATCAGGTGAGGGCGCAAAAAGCCATGCAGCACCCACCTGAGAGCAGCAAGGCGAAGGTGCCAGGAGCTGTGAGATCAGGTGAGGGCGCAAAAAGCCATACAGCACCCACCTGAGAGCAGCAAGGCGAAGGTGCCAGGAGCTGTGAGATCAGGTGAGGGCGCAAAAAGCCATGCAGCACCCACCTGAGAGCAGCAAGGCGAAGGTGCCAGGAGCTGTGAGATCAGGTGAGGGCGCAAAAAGCCATGCAGCACCCACCTGAGAGCAGCAAGGCGAAGGTGCCAGGAGCTGTGAGATCAGGTGAGGGCGCAAAAAGCCATGCAGCACCCACCTGAGAGCAGCAAGGCGAAGGTGCCAGGAGCTGTGAGATCAGGTGAGGGCGCAAAAAGCCATGCAGCACCCACCTGAGAGCAGCAAGGCGAAGGTGCCAGGAGCTGTGAGATCAGGTGAGGGCGCAAAAAGCCATGCAGCACCCACCTGAGAGCAGCAAGGCGAAGGTGCCAGGAGCTGTGAGATCAGGTGAGGGCGCAAAAAGCCATGCAGCACCCACCTGAGAGCAGCAAGGCGAAGGTGCCAGGAGCTGTGAGATCAGGTGAGGGCGCAAAAAGCCATACAGCACCCACCTGAGAGCAGCAAGGCGAAGGTGCCAGGAGCTGTGAGATCAGGTGAGGGCGCAAAAAGCCATGCAGCACCCACCTGAGAGCAGCAAGGCGAAGGTGCCAGGAGCTGTGAGATCAGGTGAGGGCGCAAAAAGCCATGCAGCACCCACCTGAGAGCAGCAAGGCGAAGGTGCCAGGAGCTGTGAGATCAGGTGAGGGCGCAAAAAGCCATGCAGCACCCACCTGAGAGCAGCAAGGCGAAGGTGCCAGGAGCTGTGAGATCAGGTGAGGGCGCAAAAAGCCATGCAGCACCCACCTGAGAGCAGCAAGGCGAAGGTGCCAGGAGCTGTGAGATCAGGTGAGGGCGCAAAAAGCCATGCAGCACCCACCTGAGAGCAGCAAGGCGAAGGTGCCAGGAGCTGTGAGATCAGGTGAGGGCGCAAAAAGCCATGCAGCACCCACCTGAGAGCAGCAAGGCGAAGGTGCCAGGAGCTGTGAGATCAGGTGAGGGCGCAAAAAGCCATGCAGCACCCACCTGAGAGCAGCAAGGCGAAGGTGCCAGGAGCTGTGAGATCAGGTGAGGGCGCAAAAAGCCATGCAGCACCCACCTGAGAGCAGCAAGGCGAAGGTGCCAGGAGCTGTGAGATCAGGTGAGGGCGCAAAAAGCCATGCAGCACCCACCTGAGAGCAGCAAGGCGAAGGTGCCAGGAGCTCTCTCTGCCGGCCACCCGCATCTGCGGGCGCACGCGGTTGCGGCTGGGGAGGGCCCTCAGCTGCACCTGCACACTCGGGTTGCTGCCACCCAGCACCAGCGGCCTCGGCGAATCCGCTGCTGCCACGTGGACGCGCACTGTGTTGGGCGCCGGCGTGCCCACCTGCACCTGCAGACGATACTCGCCGCCCTGCTGCTGGCCGCCCTGCTGCTGGCCGCCCTGCTGCTGGCCGCCCTGCTGCTGGCCGCCCTGCTGCTGGCCGCCCTGCTGCTGCCCGCCCTGCTGCTGGCCGCCCTGCTGCTGGCCGCCCTGCTGCTGGCCGCCCTGCTGTCCGCTGGTAGAGGGTTGCTGCTGCAGCTGCTGCTGAGACTGCTGGTGATCGCTGCTGATGCTGGGGTGCTGTTCCAACAGCTGTTGACTGCTGCTGCTGCTGTTACTGTTGCTGTTGTTGGGGTGCTGCTGCAACGGCTGATGGAAGTTACTGAGAGACTGGTTACACTCCTCATGGCTCTCCTCCTCGACCTTCCCCGTGGGACTATGCTGATTCGCTCCCTCCTCCACATCCTTCCCTTCTCCTCCATTCCGCCCTGCTCTACTGACTTGTTCCTCCTCCTCTGTCCGCGCTCCTTCCTCCCCTCTTAATCCGTCTTCCTCCCGGCACTTGTCCCCCTCAAGCTCCCCCTGTTCCCCTCTCAACTCAGCCTGTGCTCCCTGACAATTCCTCTCCGATTCTTCTGCTCCCTCTCCCCCATCTGCCCTCTCTCCCCCCTCTGCCTTCTCTGCCCCATCTGGCCCATCTGTCCCCTCTGCTACTTCTTCTCCCTCTGCCCCGCCCTCCTTGTTCCCTCTTGCACTCTCCTCACTCAACCTATCCCCATTACTCTCACTACCCTCAACCACACAATTTCCACAAGTACCACTGTTCTCACTCCCCTCATTCGAACTATCATCACCACGCCCCTCACTCCCCTCACTCAAACTATCACCACCATTGTGCTCCTCTCTCCCCTCCACATTCCGCCTTGCACACTCACGCCCCACCTCCCCTCCACCACCATCCACTCCTGCTCCAGATGCCACCTCCCCCCCACCACCATCCAAACCACCCCCTGATGCCACCTCCCCTCCCTTAACCTCCACGCCTCCCCCAAATGCTACCTCCCCAAGCCAGCCGCCTGTCCCAAGGCCACCCAGCCCACTCACTAGCTTCGCCCACAGCCCACCGCTCTCCTCCCTCGCGTCCCCCTTCGCCTCCCCCTTCGCCTCCCCCTTCGCCTCCCCCTTCGCCTCCCCCTTCGCCTCCCCCTTCGCCTCCCCCTTCGCCTCCCCCTTCGCCTCCCCCTTCGCCTCCCCCTTCGCCTCCTCCCTCGCCTCCTCCCTCGCCTCCTCTCCCTCGCCACATTGCCCACCTTGCCGCCCCTCTCCCCCATTATTGTCACACATATTTCTCTCACTCTCGTTACTGCCACATGAATCTGCCTCACTCTTGTTACTGTCACACGTGTTACTCCCACCCCCAATAGCCCCATCCACAGCCCCATCCGCAGCACCATCCACAGGGACCCTTGGCGGCGACGGGTACCGAGGGCTATCCACGTACTCCTCACCATCTACACTCGGCTCTTGAATGAGGCCACTAACGAATCCCTCCTTAGTGGGGCCTGGTGCCACAGGGCTGTCTGCAAGGGAGCTATCTTGAAGGAAACTTGGGTCCACAGGAGTAATCACTAGCCCCTCTGGTCTCTTCACTGCTCCCTCCATGCCTTCCGCAGCACAAGGCACTGCTGCCAACGCACTTCCCTCTCCTCCCTCTTTTCTCTCCCCTCCCTCCCTTCCCTCTCCTCCCCCCCTTACCTCTCTTCCCTCTGCAGCAGCCACGGCTGCAGCTACTGCTTCTGCTGCTGCAACCTCTGCAGCCTGTGCTGCGCGCCGAGCAGCTGTCTCCTGAGCCTGCACCTCCTCAGGCGTGAGTCCCTGGCGCCACAGCAGGCGCGGCAGCAGGCGCGCACAGTGCGGGCGGTGGGAGGCGGGCAGACATGCCATGAAGGCCGTGAAGGTGGGCACTAACGCCATGCGCACCTGATGGGGTGGAATGGGGGGAAGAAGTGGCATTCAGGGGGAGAACAGGCAGCAGGCGGGTGCAGTGTGGGCGGTGGGAGATGGGAAGGCACGCCATGAAGGCTGTGAATGTGGGCACTAACGCCATGCGCACCTGATGCGGGAAGGGGGGATAGGAGCGGGGGGATTGAAGGGGGGGATGAATAGCAGGGCATGGAGGGGAGGCGAGCGCAGTGTGGGCAGAAGGCAGCAACAGGCAGGGACTCCGATTAGCGTTAAACAGCTCATGTCACCAGCGTCTTACACCCGACCCCCCATCATCCCCACACCCACCTCGTCCTCGTCATTCACCAGTGCCTGCAGCTTGGGCAGCGGGCAGCAGGTAGCATGCAGCAGGCAGCGCGGGCAGCGTGCATCCTGGTACATCCCTCCACTGCCACCCCTACCCACCCTCCCCCTTCCCCCCTCCCCCCTCGCTCTCTTACTCCCCACTCACCTCGTCCTCGTCGCACACGAGCGCCTCCAGCGCGGGCAGCAGGCAGCGCACGGTGATGGTTGGCCCCAGCAGCCCCGCCAGCTCATGCACGTGACACGCCAGCGTGCGCCGCACCGCCAGCTGTCGCGTCGTAATTGGCAGAGCGGAGAGGAGCAGGGATGGAGATGGAGATGGAGAGAGACAAAAAGAGTGAGTGAGGGTGGAGAGGGAGGGAGAGAAGAGTGTTTGACAGCATGCTCTCACATGGGGTGATGGGTGGGGTCCCGCGCAAAACAGATGGGGAGAGGGCAGCTCTCAGGTCAAGCCCAGGTCGCCGTGACCGACCACAGCGAAACGTCTCGAAGACGCCACGTCGGCCATGTCGACCACCATCACCGCATCTGGTCGGCAGGCACCGCTGGAGTCGTCGAGCAGCTGAGACAAGAAAATAGGCGGTTGAGGGCCGACGATGCACGCCTGAAAAAGGCGCTCGGTGAACAGACGAGACGGGTTGACAGCTTGGCGTCGGCGATAGCTGGACTCTCAACAAGGTCAAGGTTTTGACAACCCAGGTCGCCGTCACCGACAAGAATGCGGCGAAACGTTTCGAAGACAACACGTCGGCCATGTCGGCAACCATCACCGACCACCATTACCGACAACATCACCAACAACATCACCGATAACAGCACATGTGGAGCCATCGGCGAGTCCCGCCGGTGGTTCAGCGGAGCCAAAGACGGCCACTGATGCTGTCGGCGAGGGAAAGTTGAAACGGAAGGGGAAGGCCGACGTAGGGAAGGGAAGGCGATCTCTCAAAGAAAAACAACACGGGCGATATCGGCGACGAAGGAGATATCGGCCGAGACAAGGAAGGAGAGGACGAAGGAGATTCAGGAGGAGAAGTCGGTCGGCAAGAAGTCGGTGGAGAAAGGGCAAGAGAAGGCGGAGGAGAATCAGGAGAAGTCAGTCGGCGGGGGTAAGTCGGCGAAGATAGGGAAGGAGAAGGCGGCGGAGTAGGAGACGGTGAAAGGACGGAATGGTCATGGCGTCTGCCACGACAGCTCGTGCGACGGGCAAGGGTGGGTGGGCGAGATTAAGCTGGTCGGCGTTAATCGATACATCGGCAAGTCGCGCGACAAGATGGAGCTGGCATACCTGCACTTGATTGCGTACATCGTCTACGACGGTTTCGCCCCTGTGGTTGCACTTCATCCTCGACCAGATCGGCGACGACTTCCTCCCGCCGCTAGACACGAGCGAACGCCAGCTCTGGTACAAGAAGCATCTTTTCTTCGCCCGCAACGACAAGGAGCAAAACGAGCTCCCTGTTGCAAGCCACCAACGCTGGACGCGGCAGATGTAGAAGACCAACAAAGTGTTCCGCAAGCGGAACGTGCACGCCGCTCGCGCAGGAGGAGACCAAGAGCTGGCCATCGAAGGAACGCCGCGCGCCGAGATCGCTGAGCTGGGTCACTGGGCACTCGACAAGATGTCGCGAGCTTAAATCGCCGCCATTCCAGTAGGAGTGGTGATGAAAAGGCCGGTTACTCGGGTGCCAAGCAAGACAACTTCTTGAGTCGCAGCAGGGTGGAACCCTAGGACGAACTCAAGGGCATCCCCCGGCGTTGATGATCTACTGCACAAGATTTGTTAATCAGCGCCCATATAGTTTCGTCATAGTATCGACCCACCGCCCGTCCCTAATCACTGGATACACTTGTCGAATTTGCTGCCCAAGGGTCCGACACCGACATTGCCGCCGTGCATTTCTGGCATACCCTCCAAAAAATGCGCTGCATTGTCGTCGAGGACCTCGCTGTGAAATTTGTCCGAATGCCATGGCACCCGTACGTCCAAGGTTCCAAGCTCTGCCGGATTGCCCTCTTCCAGCACTGGGCGAAAAGGGTCGAGAAGGTCGACACAGGGACGATACAAAAAGGCCAAGTCCCGACTCTCATTCAGCCATAGGTAAAATCGAGTCGGCGTCGACCTGTTTACGCTAAAACCACCCACATCCAACGTTACTCGCCGATTTAGGCCAAAATCGAATACGGGGTCATGTCCCTCCGCACGATGCTGACGTATCGAGAGGGAGCGTTCACCGGTCGAGAAGATCGACCTCGAGGAGAAGATCGAGAAGCGCAACAAGATCTTCTCGATCCAACGTTACTCGATCTTCTTGATCGACAATTTCTCGCAATTATTGGCGAGTAACGTTGGATGTGAGTGGTTTTAGCGTAAACATGTCGACGCCGACTCGATTTTTGCATACCTCTGGCTAAGTGAAAGTCGAGTCTCGGCGCTTTTTGATCGTCTCAGTGTTGACCTTCTCGACCCTTTTCGACCAGTGCAGAAAAAGGGCAATCTGGCAGAGCTTGGAACCTTGGACGTACGGGTGCCATGGCGTTCGGACGAGTTTCACAGAGAGGTCCTCCACGACGATGCAGCGCATCCTCTGGAGGGTACGCCAGAAATGCACGGCGGCAATGTCGGCGTCGGAACCCTAGGCAGCAAGTTCGTCTGTCTGCAATTCGATAGTGCATTCGGTGATTAGGGGCGGGCGGTGGGACGATACTATGATAAAACTATGTGGGCGCCGATTTACAAACCTTGCGCAGCAGGTCATCAACGCCGGGGAAGATGTACTCGGCGATGATGTCCTTGGGTTCGTCCCAGGGTTCCACCCTACTGCGACCCAAGAAGATGTCTTGCTTGGCACCCGAGTAACCGACCTTTTCATCACCACTCCCACTGCAATGATGATGATGTAAGCTTGCGACATCTTGTCGAGTGCCCAGTGACCCAGCTCCGCGATCTCGGCGCACGGCGCTTTTTCGATGCAAACTCTTGGGTTCCTCCCGCGCGAGCGGCATGCACGTTCCGCTTGCAGAACACTTTGTTGACCTTCCACATCTGTCGCGTCCAACGTTGGTGGCTTGCAGCAGGAGCTCGTTTTGCTCCTTGACGTTGCGGGCGAAGAAAAGATGCTTCTTGTACCAGAACTGGCGTTCGCTCGTCTCCAGTGATGGAAGGAAGTCGTTGCCGAACTGGTCGAGGATAAAGTGCAACCACAGGGGCGAAATTATCGTAGACGATGTACGCAATCAAGTGCAGGTACGCCAGCTCCATCTTGTCGCGCGACTTGGCGATGTATCGATTAAAGCCGATCAGCTTAATCTCGCCCACCCACCCTTGCCCGTCGCACGAGCTGTCGTGGCGGATGCCATGACCATTCCGTCCTTTCTCCTTCTCCTACTCCGCCACCTTCTCCTTCCCTTTCTTCGCCGACTTACCCTCGCCAACCGACTTCTCCTCCTGATTCTCCTCCGCCTTCTCTTGCCCTTTCTCCACCGACTTCTCCTTGCCGACCGACTTCTCCTCCTGAATCTCCTTCGTCTTCTCCTTCCTTGTCTCGGCCGATATCTCCTTCGTCGCCGATATCGCCCGTGTTGTTTTCCTCTGAGAGATCGCCTTCCCTTCCCTACGTCGGCCTTCCCCTTCCGTTTCAACTTTCCCTCGCCGACAGCATCAGTGGCCGTCTTTGGCTCCGCTGAACCACCGGCGGGACTCGCCGATGGCTCCACATGTGCTGTTATCGGTGATGCTGTTGGTGATGTTGTCGGTAATGGTGGTCGGTGATGGTTGCCGACATGGCCGACGTGTTGTCTTCGAAACGTTTCGCCGCATTCTGGTCGGTGACGGTGACCTGGGCTGTCAAAGCCTTGACCTTGTCGAGGAGTGCAGCTATCGCCGACGCCAAGCTGTCAACCCATCCCGTCTGTTCACCGAGCGCCCTTTCCAGGCGTGCATTGTCGGCCCTCAACCGCCTGTTCTGTTGTCTCAGCTGCTCGACGATGTCCAACGGTGCCTACCGACCAGATGCGGTGATGGTGGTCGACATGGTCGACGTGGCGTCTTCGAGACGTTTCCCCGCATTCCAGTCGGTGACAGCGACATGGGCTGTCAAAGCCTTGACCTTGAGAGCTCTCAGGGGGCGCAACTCTCAGGGGGCGCAGCTCTCATGGGATGCAGCTCTCATGGGGCGCAGCTCTCATGGGGCGCAACTCTCATGGGTGCGCAACTCTCATGGGGGGAAAATTGTCTACATAGGCGGGCCTGCAGTGGGGAGGTCACATGGGGGGGCTACTCACATGGGGCGAGGCGAGCAGGTGCGCGTATGCTGCTTCCAGCTCCCACCAGCGCGCTGGCCCCAACCCCACCACCACCGCTGGCAGATGACATGGGCAAGAGGGGAGGGGAAGGGCAAAAGGAACGGGGAAGGGGAAGGGGAAATGGGATGGAGAAAGAGGAAGGGGATAAAGAAACAAGGGAGAAGAGCAAGTGGATGGAAGGGCATGCACAGCACAAGGTTGATTGGAACGGAAGAGTGTAAGGAAGCTGACGGGTCGACCGCTGACCGGCTTTGTTCTGCATTTCTGGGTACTGCCACCGTGCCAGGCCATCCAAACAGCATGCCATGCCTTTGGCGCCTCAAAAGACTGGTCTTGTTCCCCGTGTCTGGGTACTGCCACGCCATCCAAACAGCATGGCATGGCAGGGCAAACTGGGTACCTCGTTGCTTTGAAATGAAAGGCGAACTGAGTTGCTCCTCATGCCACGCCCTAACCCCACTCGCCCCTGGGATGGGAAAAAATCCTCGATTTTCCACCTGGGAGGCGCACCCTAACAAATAACCCCACCTAGGAGGCACATTCCCACCCAGCCCTAACTCCATGTCAAGCCAGCTGTAACTGTGACGCCCACCTGGGAAGTTGAAGGCACAGTAAAGTGGCAGGCGGTCGTCATCGTCAGCATCACCATCATCGCCCATGGGCCCTGGCTGTGCCATGCTCGTGAACATGTGCACTAGGTCCTGGATGGGAAGGGTGGGGAGGGGTGGAGAGGGGTGTAGAGTGGCAGGTGGTCAGTATCGTCATCATCACCCATGGGCCCCGGCTGTGCCATGCTCGTGAACATGTGCACTAGGTCCTGGATGAGAGGGGTGGGGTGTGGAGGGGAGAGGTGGAGAGGGGTGTGGAGCGGTGTGATGTGAGGGTAGTGAGAGGGAGATGAGGAAGAATGGAAGTGCACACAGTGGACGGTGGGGAGGCGCGTGGAGGGGCGAGGTTGGAAGCAGGTAGGGTGGATTAGAAGGGCTTGTGAGAATTGGCATGAGGATTGACAATCAATTCATGCATGCAAAACGAGCTGCATCTTGGTTCGATTCGACCGAAACGTCAAGATTGGCAACCACTGAATGCATGCAGGAAGATGGGAGAAACGAGAAGCGGGGGGGACCAAGAGGAAGAAAAATGTGCTGAAAAGTAGAGGAGAGCGACGAGGAGGAGGAGGTTAAGTGGTAGAGGTTAAGCAAGCAAACACACTGTCTCTCCCTGTTTACTATCCATATGTTACAGCCCCCCTGCTCTCACCCGCATGTCAGCGCCACGCAGCACGGAGAGCAGTGGTCCCAGCATCTGAAGCGCTGCCTCCCTCACCCATGCTGATGGCTGCACGTGGGGGGTGGGGGGTTAGGGGTGGAGAATGTGGTGTTGGGGTGCAGGTGGGCACAGGGACATATTACCCCGATTCCAGGTGAAAAGATGGAAGTTCCAGATACCACATCATTCCACACCGCACACAACACCACACAACACAACACCACACCAAACCACACCAAACCACTCCACACCGCGCTCACATCATTCGCCAGTCGGCCCATGAGCTCCCCAATGAGCTGAGTCCGCTGCCTCACACGTGACACCTCCTCCTCCTCCACACCCTTGCCCCCCTCCTCTCCACCACCCTCCTCCTCTCGCCCCATCACCCCACTTCCCTCCTCCCCACTTTCCTCCTCTACTCCACACCCCCTCACAGCTGCAAGCGAGCTCACTTCAAGCTCACCCGCTTCCTCACTAATCTCCCGCACTTCTTCAATCTCCCCCCACCTCTCGGACCGCCTTCCACCGTCCTGCACCGCTCCTGACCCCGTTCCAGCACCCTGCACCCTTGTCTCTCCCGCAACACCCACGTCCCCCATACTGGCTTCCTCACTAACAGGTGCAAGTTCTCTTGACAAATCACTCGCAGCTTCCACCTCCTTCGCTGCAGCTCTTGCACTCTCCGCATCACTGGCAGCAGTTGCCTCAGCCCCTGTTCCCTCACCCCCTCCTGCTAATCCCACTCCCCCTGCTGCTGCTGCTGCTGCTCCTCCCAAACCTGCTGATCCCTGTGCGTCTCTCTCCTCTCCCAACTCCAGCTCCTCCCTAAGCTCGCCTCTCACACCCTCACTCCCACTATCCCCACTACTCCCGCTGCTCCCGCTGCTCCCACTGCTCCTGCTGCTGCCGCTGCTACCACCGCTGCTACTGCTGCTACTGCTTCCCTGGCTGCCGACGCTCCCATCGCTGCCGCTGCTGCCGTTGCTGCTAGCAACGCTGCTCCCACCACTGCCAGTGCCACGGCCGTCAGTACCGGCAGCAGCAGCCTTGGGTGTGAGAGCAACAGCCGCCTCTGCCACTGCCACTATGCCCTCTGCACACGCCACTCGCACTGCCCAGGATGTGTCGGAACACAGGGAGGCGAACAGAGGGAGCTGCGAAACAAAAGGGCGGGACGGAACGGGAGAGAAACAACACACAAGTCAGCTCAAACACTGTTCGAGTCTAGCTCTCAGCAACAGCAGACTCTGCCACTGCCACTATGCCCTCTGCACACGCCACTCGCACTGCCCAGGACGTGTCGGAACACAGCGAGGCGAACAGGGGGAGCTGGGGAACAAGGGCGTGGGAGAGAAGGAAGAAAGGGAAATGAAAAAAAAACACAAGTTGGATCAGACACGGTTAAGTGCCTGGCAATCAGAAAGAGCAGCCTGTGCCACTGCTACTATGCCCAAGAGGTATCAACCTGCACGTTACTCTTTTTTTTCTTCTTCTTTTTCTTTTCTTCCCGAGTGTGAGTGAAAGAGGCTGTGGAGGGGAAAACAAGTCCTTCTGAATGCTTAGCACTCACCAGAGAGCCGTCCAGGCATGCAGCATTGGCCCCCATGGCCCTGCAGCACTGCGCCAGCCCCTCTGCTACAGCCTGCACAGGAGAGGAGAGAAAGGAGATTTTTTGGGGAAGGGGGGGGGGAGGGAATGAGCAGAGAGAGAGAGAGAGAGAGAGAGAGAGAGAGAGAGAGAGAGAGAGAGAGAGAGAGAGAGAGAGAGAGAGAGAGAGAGAGAGAGAGAGAGCAGAGATGGAAGCATTCGGCATCCGTCCACCATGCTGTGGTCTTAGAAGAGGCATTAGCTGCTGGAAAAAGGCCAGTCGACACAGGTGGGAGGAGAGTGAGTGACGTGGGTAGACAGGAAGGGCAGCATCAAACAGCCTTTCTTCTCCTCTCTGCAACCATTTCTTAGGCGGCTTATGAAAAGGCAAAAAAGACCTCTGCAAAGTGAAGCGTAGCTTAAGAGCCGGAACGGAAGGAGGGCAGGAGAACGAGCGGGAGCAATATGTGCTGAGCAGGAGGAGTGGCAACGGCATTGACTGGCACGATGCCTTGCGACTTGGAAGTGAGTCAGCAGCGTACCTTTCTGACTTGGAAGTGCAAGTCAGCAGCGAGCGCAAGGAGGTGCGGCACGGCTCGGTGCTCAAAGAGAGGCCGACTCATCACCGCCGCACAGCGCACCAACACCTGCGGGGGGGACCACCAAGGGGAGAGACGGAATATGCACAGACAGAGAAGAAGGTGAAAGGGGAGCGACACAACTCATCACTGCTGCACAGCTCACCAGAACCTGAGAAGGCGGGTGGCGGAAGAGAGGGGTTTTTTTTGCTATTCGAGTCAGAAGTAGCTTGGTGCGCAAAGAGGGAATGCCTCATCCACTGCCGCACAGCTCAGCAGCACATGAGAAGGCATCGAGCAGCAGCAGGGGATATGCACACAGAGACACACGGAGGGGGTGTAAGGGGGCCAGCAAGGAGGAGCGGAGATGCTGATGCTGATGCTGATGCTGATGCTACAGAAACGGACCATTACCAAACAGTGGGTCCACTCCATCGACTCACAGAGGCAGCGCAGACGCGAGCAGGTTGGGAGTGCGGCAGCAAGGCGAGGCGCAGGAGGGCATCGAGCAGCATCGCCTCCACCGCTGCATCCTCCTCCGCGCCGTATGCCATCATTGCCACATATCCGCCCTCCATGGCGACTTGCACCTGTGAGGGCGGAGAGAGGCAGGGGCACGCAGAGGAGCAAAATAGGGTGAGCACAGCAGCATCGCCTCCACCGCTGCATCCTCCTCCGTGCCGTATGCCATCATTGCCACATATCCGCCCTCCATGGCGACTTGCACCTGTGAGGGCGGAGAGAGGCAGGGGCACGCAGAGGAGCAAAATAGGGTGAGCACAGCAGCATCGCCTCCACCGCTGCATCCTCCTCCGCGCCGTATGCCATCATTGCCACATAGCCGCCCTCCATGGCGACTTGCACCTGTGAGGGCGGAGAGAGGCAGGGGCACGCAGAGGAGCAAAATAGGGTGAGCACAGCAGCATCGCCTCCACCGCTGCATCCTCCTCCGCGCCGTATGCCATCATTGCCACATAGCCGCCCTCCATGGCGACTTGCACCTGTGAGGGCGGAGAGAGGCAGGGGCACGCAGAGGAGCAAAATAGGGTGAGCACAGCAGCATCGCCTCCACCGCTGCATCCTCCTCCGCGCCGTATGCCATCATTGCCACATAGCCGCCCTCCATGGCGACTTGCACCTGTGAGGGCGGAGAGAGGCAGGGGCACGCAGAGGAGCAAAATAGGGTGAGCACAGCAGCATGGCTTCTACCGCTGCATCCTCCTCCGCGCCGTACGCCACCATCGCCACATACCCGCCCTCCATCGCCACTTGCACCCACAGGGCGGAGAGGCGGGCAAGTACGAGACAGTTAGGGCAGCAGCTGAGCCCACACTCGCCTAGGAACCAGCAAGCAACCCCTACGCCGTTGTTCCCCCACGCCTGTCAGCATCTGCTCCGTCAGTGCCCCGCGCGGCCATCCTGTACCCACTCGGAGCACTGATGGAGCTGATACTCGATCCCCACGCGCAAGAAAGAGGAAGGAAGGGAGGGCTACCCGGGCCATCAAGTAAGGACCTCCCTTCCTCGCCCTCCTATCCTTCATGCCTGCCCTCTGCCTCGCCTCCTCAGCCTCATCTAACAGTAGCTGGCTCAACACGTCCATCAGCCACGTCAATGCCTCCATCAGTGCACCCCATTGTCTTCCCTCCCTTCCTTGCCCTCCTGTCCACCACCTCACCTCCTCGGCGTCGTCCAGCAGCAGCAGGTTCGCCACCTCCATGAGCTCCATCAGTGCCCCGCGCGCCCTGCTGCCCGCCTGACGCAAAAAGGAGGGCGGGTTAGGGGATGGGTGGACGCATAGATGGGTGTGTGTGGGCGGGTGATTGCATGCATGGGCGGAAAACCATGGCTTGGAGGCTTCTCTCATCTCACCCACAGACCAGGACAATCGCCTCACACACTGCCGCCACCAGCGCATTGACCGCCAGTTGTCGTCCAAGCGCTATACTTGTGTGACTTTTGAGAATTCTTAAAAGTCAAACGCCACCAGCGCATTGACCGCCAGTTGTCGTCCAAGCGCTATACTTGTGTGACTTTTGAGAATTCTTAAAAGTCAAACGCCACCAGCGCATTGACCGCCAGTTGTCGTCCAAGCGCTATACTTGTGTGACTTTTGAGAATTCTTAAAAGTCAAACGCCACCAGCGCATTGACCGCCAGTTGTCGTCCAAGCGCTATACTTGTGTGACTTTTGAGAATTCTTAAAAGTCAAACGCCACCAGCGCATTGACCGCCAGTTGTCGTCCAAGCGCTATACTTGTGTGACTTTTGAGAATTCTTAAAAGTCAAACGCCACCAGCGCATTGACCGCCAGCTGTCGTCCAAGCGCTGAGAGAAAACAGCAGGTGAGGCACGAACGACCACTGGCAGGAAATTCACTCCAATGGGAGGGGCTCTTTTCCTGTGAGCTCGAATGGGGCTCTTCCTGTGAGTTGAGCACACACGTGACTACACGAAGCGCGCGAGCTGGTTTTTGAGAGTCGCGTGACTTGGAGGCTTCCCAACTAACAGCGCATGTCCTAATGAGGCGCGCGGCCGCATGCATGACGCATGCACACAGAAAAATCCACGAGGCACCACCAGTGGCAGCTTATTCACCCGTACTGTGTACACACGCATGTGTGTATGCACAAGTTGTGTGTGTATCGTAAGTCGTGCAGGCAGGGGGTACTGGTGCAGGGAACAGCAGGGCAAACCCGTAAAGGCCAGGCAAGCAGTATAGGCAGAGCAGCGCGTACTGGTGCGAGGCAGGGCACAGAGCAGAGAAGGCAGGGCGTATGCACGCAGGAGCTGCACGCAACGACTCAAACGCGGTCAGGGAAAACCAGTGCAGGGCAAGGCAAGCAGCAGAGGAAGAGCGTACTGAGCGTGCAGGGGAAAGCAGCGCAGGCAGGCAGGGCGTACCAGGGTGCAGGCAGGGCAAGCAGCAGAGGCAGGGCGTACCGGGGCATATGCGCGCAGGAGCTGCGGGATCTGCTCGGCGAGCGTCTGGCGGATCTCAGGCTCGCTGTCATTGGCCAGCTCCCTGCACAACGGGACAAACGCCGCCGCCGACCCGTCCAAGCCCAGCTTCCTGGCAGCTTCCGCCATGTAGCATATGTGGTAGAGCCTGGTGGGAAGAGTTGTTGACGAGGGGGAGCAGGAGGGGGAGGAGGGGAGTGGAAGTGAGGGGAGGGGGGAAAGGTGGGGAAAGAACAGAACAGGCATAGGATCATATACATAGCAAACGCGGTAGGGACTGTTGGGAGAAGTGGCTGAGGTGAGGAGAAAGGGGAGAGGCAAACGAGGAGGAAGAGAAGGGGGTTGGATGGCGGGAAACAGTGCCACGCTTCTTGGCAAGGGGGAAAGGTGAAGAGGACACGGTTGGCAGCTGTAACGGAGTGTGCAGGTGGCTCGCTCCCTGGATCCAAGATAGATCAAGGGAGGCCGCATGAGACACGGCTTGGTTGGGAGGCGGTTTGAGAGGAGACTTGAGACGTGCAGTAAGATATGCTCCGGGAGTTGGCTTGCAAGGAGGCATGGGAGGTGGCTTGCAAGGAGGTATAGGAGATAGTTTAGGAGGTGGTTCAGAAGGTGGTTTAGGAGGGCCAAACTTACCTTTGCACAAAAACGTCGCTGTGCACGAGTGTGCATATTGTGTCCACGTCAGATAAGCTACTGTCCTCGTCAGCACTGTCCTCGTCCTCGTCACTGCTACTATCCGTATCGTCATCGTCATCAACGGTGCGAAACGCAGCAGCAGCATCCCCAACAGCAGCAACAGCAGCAGCTCCAGCATCAGCTAAAGCAGCCACAACAGCACTAGCAGCAGGAACATCAGCAACAACCCCAGCAGAAGCACCATCACCACTAGCATCAGCACCATCAGCAGCACCAACAGCAGCAGCACCACCACCACCACCACTACCAGCAGCATCACAATGATCTGTTTCCGTCTCCGCGCCCTGCCCATCACAATGTGGCACGTGAGCCAACAGTCTAAGGCGCTCTAAGGCTCCCCCTCTTTCTTGCCCCAATATCGGTACATTCCCCTCTTCTTGTTTCGTCTCCCCAGCTCGCTCTTCCTCCTCTCTCTTTTCCTCCTCGTTCCACTCCTCCTCTCTTCCCTTCTCCTCCTCTACTCTCCTCTGTCCCTCTTCTCCCTTTACTTCCTCCTCCTTCATTTCCTCCTCCCTCCCTTTCTCCTCCCTCCTTTCCTCCTCCTCCCTCCTTTCCTCCTCCACTCTCCTTTCCTCCGCGCCTCCTTCTCCCAATCTCGCCCCCGTCAGCTCCGCCCTATCCACTCCTTCATCCCTCACGCCAGACGCCCCTCCATGTCCCGTTCGCCGCGGCTCGTTAAGCGCAGGCGTCCCTGCAAGGGACCTTACAACCTGCATCGCCTCCGCGATACTCATCCCCTGTTGCCCCGCACGGCCGACTAACCCGTCTCCTCCCACCCCGTCTGCCCCAGCCCCTTCCTGCTCCAGTTCCCGTAAATGCTGCTCGTCTCGTTTCGTCATCTCAGCTTGCTCGTCCTCCTCTCGTGTCCTCTCCTCTTCGTTTCGCTCCTCCTCACTTCTTTGCTTCTCCTCCATTTCTCTCCTTTCCTCCGCTCCTCGTTCCCCCACTCCCGCCCCCACTCCTCGTTCCCCCACTCCTCGTTCCCCCACTCCTCGTTCCCCCACTCCCGCCCCGCTCCGCTCCGCCTTTCCGCGACCCCGACTCCTTCCGCCGTAGCCCCTTCCGCGTCCCCTTCGCCGCGCGGGGAATGCGATCTCCTGCGCGATGGCTCTTATTCGCATCGTCGCCTCCTCGATGGTCAGCAACTGCGGCTGCGCACTGTCCACCACACCGTCTCCTCTCAACCCGTCTCTGTCCTCCTCCTGCTCTTCCTGCCCGTCCCTCTGCGTCTCTCGCTCTCCACCTTCGCCTTCACTCGTCTCGCTCTGCTTGGCTTCACCGTTAAGCGTTTCGACGTTTCCAGCATCCGACACTACCGATGCCTCCATGGCTGCTCTTTGCGCGTCTACGGCTCGTCGCGTACTTCACCACTCTCGCCAAAACTTCTCGCTACCTCTTTGTCTGCGCAGTATCAGTCAGCGGTAACTCGGATCTAGGGTACGTTCCTGGCCCGTGTCAAAGCTTCGGGCCTTCCCGGGAAGGCCCGAAGCTTTGGGTCAAACTCCCTGTCCAACTTCAGGTCTTCCGGAAACAGGGGCAATTTTAGGCCGGAAGACCCGAAGTTGGTCTCGGATGGCCCAAAGTGGGTCCAACTTCCGGTCATCCGCGGATGACCGGAAGCTTGACACTCGCCAGGAACGTACCCCTAGATTCACTGGATCTGCCACGTGGACAGCATTCGTCGCCGCTTAGTCCTCGTCAAAGTTTCGCTGTGTTGAGCGTATGCGTCAGGTAGTAAGTGAAGACGTGAGGCAAATAAATAACAGGCGTGTGTCTAGGTTGTGAGGCCAACGGGAGATGTTCTAGGTGAGGTACTCTCGATGGACCCGTACCACCCAGAAGTTACACGCCCTAACGACGGACCCGTTCGCCACGACCACATGAACGCGAGGGGCTGGGAATTGGCGAGGAGCTCCCGAAGGTGCAACGGAAGTTGCACATCACGTGCTCGCCCCCGCGATGAAATTTCGTCATGGGATCAGGAAGGGAGTTGAGGGGATCTAGCACCTCCCTCCCCCCTTCCTGTACGGGCAACCAGGTCAACCCAACCAGGTCGTGTTGGGTCTGTCCGACCTGATCGAGCAGACCCAACCAACCAGATTGCGACGATCTACTTGAGCTATCTCAGCGGTCAAGCGACTCCGCCTAGCGGAGCTCGCTCCGCGCGGGCAAAAAAAATAAAACCCATTCGGGCATGCATCCCTAAACACATCGAGGCATGCGATTTGGGTTGATGCCTCCCTCGGATGGCATGCCATCCGATGGGGTTTTAGTTTTTTTCTGCCCGACAGTCAGGTCGACAGAGGGTCGACGACAGTCGACCCAATCCCGCTATGAAATCTCGCTAAATTGTAGATCTGTTGTTGCCTACAAATTGCAAATCCAGCGAGGCAAGGTTTTGGCGTAACCAATCTCGTCACAGCTCGCCTAGCCAGCAGGGAAGCCAGATACTAATTGCGCAGAGTTGCTTCAAAGTTCTCTCATAAGTTTTTTTAGGCTCCGAGCCGCGATGGCTAGGTCGACCAGGTCGAATCGACCCAACCCAATCTTGTAAGGTCGCAACACGTCGTAAGACCTCTACAGTTTCCAAGTAGCAGATTCTTAGAACGTGTTATAAGAGCAATTGAGTGGATGAACGAAGATTGCACTATCGAACCTAAGCAGTATATTAAGCGAAGGGATGAGCGAATGTTATATAGCTAAATATCGTGTTAACAGCAACGAGTAGATTATGGGGTGTGCGACAGTCCTGGCGCCGATGTTGGCAATTGTCGAGGGGGGAAATTGGAGCGCAGATTACCAGCCAAGCCGTAAGGTTGGGTCGCGTTGTGACAGGAACAGTAGTTGAGGCGAATGTCGCGATATGGTAACGGTTTACCGTAGAGTACTGCTGGCGTAAACAGTCATGCGGTAAGCAAGGGCACAAAATAAGGAAAATGAAATTTCCTTACATTACCCCTTACAAAAGTGCGTGTACTAGGTAATGGAATGGTGGTTCTCAAATTTATCCAAGCGGGCCCAATTAACTTCTGTGGGTGTACGGTCCTTCCAACGAATCAAGAACTCAACGCGTCGAGCTCCACTCGGGTTACAAAGGCGGTGGCTCAATATTTTTTCGGGTGATGACTGGTTCGTTTGGCGATCGTGTCATACCGGACGGGCGTTACGTGTCAATGGGTAGGAGGAGGTGGGTGGTGATGAGCGTGATCATGTGGCTGATGCAAAATGTCCCTCTACGCCGGGGGCGTAATTTCGAGTAATACGCAGGCGGAGGTTCTGATTGTGTCGGGTTAGTACAGATCATCGGGCTGGTAAGCGACGCAGTGGCGGTGGCAGTCGGCATTGTGCTGAGTGATGATGTTTGAATTTTTTATAGCGCTGCTGCTCGGGTTCGAGCTGCTAGTAAAATTTCAACACATTACTATGTTCGTAGGGCCGATTTTCTGAGATTCGGCATCAACAGTATGGTCATATTCTGTCCGTAGTTGATGTAAAAAGGTGGTTGCTGCATCGTTGCTGACATGGAGTTGTCCTATGCGAACTCGACGAGTGGCAACTGCTACTCCCATGTTGCTGGGTCGTCGTACATGGCTCGAATTAACTATTCCATAGTCTGATTGGTCTGCTTCATTTGACCGTCGGTTTTGGGTTGGTATGATGAACTGAACCGTAGTCGTTCTACTGCCCAATAGTTGCTGCATTTCCCAACCGCCCTTCAGGTTCCACTGCCATGTCAACCTGAGGCGTTGTGGTAGTCTCCCATGCTTAAGTCATGGGTGAGTCTTCGTCCTCTAGCTCTGCTCCACTAACTCACTTGCTGCCCCTATCCCATCAGCCCCATATCCCAGCAGGTCTTAGACCGATTAGGGTAGAGCGGACTTATCATCTGCCGCAGGAAATTTTGCACGGTCCCTACAATCGAGGTAGTTGATGTTTTTTCTAAAAGATTACATTACGAGTTGCTGCCACCTTGCCACTGTCCACATTCTTAGACACCCATCGTTTTCTCATGGGACACATGCCCAAATAAATCGCCCCATTTGGTCCGTGGCAAGGGCTTATAATCGGGGCCAGCCGGTTGCGTTATGCAACCACACACGTGCAGGAACTCCAACTTCGGCTTCCGATGGTAAAACGCCTTATGATGTGTGATGCCTGCTGCAAGTCTCGTAGTATGTAAGCGATTTTTCAGCCAGGAGGCCATCCCGAAAGCATAGCCCCAATTGGAAAGAGGAAGCCCGCTATCTAATAGCATGCTTCGAACGCTCTCCAACAACGAGCAATCATTCCCTCTACCGTGCTGCGGGGTGTAGGGTATGGTAAGTTGGCGACGAATGCCTTTAGCGCGCAAGGAGTTGAAGTCCGCGTTTGTGAATTCTCCCCTGTTGTCCGTTCGTAGTATCTTGAGCTATTTTCCATTCCGCCGCTCCGCTTCTGCCAGCCAATCAACGAAGCTCAAAAGTGCTTCAGATTTCTCCTTGATCCCGGTTATCTAGGTATCCCTTGTCCCAAGGTCGGTGAAGGCTAAGAAGTATTTGCTGTCGTGACGGGATGGCACTCGCATAGGTCCTCACAAATCTGACGCAATGATCTCGAGCGTCTCATATGGCTGCCGGGCACCGTGCTTAGGGTGGGCATCATCGTTGGCTTTTCTTCCGAGCATTCGTCACACTTCAGCTTCTCTTTTTCCCCTTTCAAAACTTTCATTCCAACCACCATATCTTTCTCCAATAGCTCGTTGATGTGCTAGTCGCTAGCATATCCCAATCTCCTATGGAAGGTTTTCATGTTGATTCCTTCCACTGCTACAGCAAGCGGTGGAGATAGTCGCTTGAGCATCGCCACCGGTACCTTGTTTAGCATGGCCCGTAGTTCCTCCTGTGTCACCTTCCCTTCCTTGGGTTCAGCTTGGAAGGCTGTCTCTGTTGTTTTGTTGCGCTCCTTCAAGCACATCTTATACAGCCCTTCCTTGCGTATACCCTCCGAACTACCTTCCAATTAGAGCACCCACAGCTTTGCCGTTGTCACTAAATATCTCGCACCCATTGCTGTCCAATTGTAATTGGATTATCATGTTCAGGGTCAATTTCTCTACAAGTAGTATGCTGTCTAGTTTTAGCTCTTCGTACAGACTTTGCTGCACCAAATCGCCTTCTCCCTTGACAGGTTAGCTATCCTCATCATCTAGCAAAACTAAGGTATTGTTGGGGGTCAAAAAATCCGAAACCAGCCCACACGATGAGTCGTATGCTACGTGCAACCACTATAAAAAAGCCAGCCCGTTTCATACCCTTCGCCAACGGACATACTTTAGAGGCTCGTGCGAGGTTCGCCTTGTGTGCGCCTCCCAAGACCATATCACCTTCACCTTTTTCCGCTTCCGCGTCCTTGGTGGTGTTGTTGTTTGCCGCTGTCCTACTTTGAAGTTCTTGCTGGCCGGGTTGGTGAAGCACTCGAAAGCCTCACGTCCGTACTTGCCACAATGATTGCAGTTTCTAGGAAATGGACCCCGTTGTCTCACTCCTTCCTTGTTTGCTGCTTCACTGCTATTCAGTTTTTCCTTGAAGTTGCGGCTGCGTGGATAGGAGTAACTGCCGGCAACCTTATGTCATTTCTTCCCGCAGTGAAAGCAAGGGTCAAATCCCCTTGCCGCCTTCAAGGCGTTCAGCAACGCCGGTTTTTCCTCCACAACAGATTCCTCTAGTGCCTCCCTCTCCTTCCGTTGCTGAAGCGCCTGCATCATCTCGAGCAAGCTGGTGATGTCCGTTGGTGGATTGCATGTGAGCACCCCTTTCTCTCTCACCCAATATTAGGTAGGTCGTTGATGATGTAGCTCACTATGTGGCTTTCCGATTATGCTGCCCTCATAGCCGCTAGACACCCGTTGTAGCTCTTACACGATGTACGTAACAGATGACTGTCTTTGCTGGTACCATGTTGAGTAGCAGTAGCTTCCTTCTTATCGCCATCAGGTTCGTGTCAATCCGCCCGAGGTATACCGCATCTATATAGCTCCATGCCCTTTCAGGGAGTTCAAATCGTCGGCGACTTGGTCAAGACCCACGGCGGCAGCATTTAAAACTGAATGACACGATTGAAAATACGCATGCTCACCCTTTTTCCGGTATGCTGCCGACTTGTGCTGGTGCCTTTTCAGGTAGAGCCGCCAGAGCCCCACCTTGCGTGCACGCCGGATTAACTTCAAACTCCACGTGTCATTGTCGCTTCCGTTGAAGCGTTGTGCTTCGCTCAACCCTGTCGTAGGTTTGGCCACCGTACACCCTTGCACAAGGGCGTCCAAAGTGTTTGCACCTGGGAGCTATAAACGTTCACCGAGGAACATGACCTCGCTTCACCGCTTCCGTTTCCCTTCCATTAGGAATTCGCCTTTCGTCGACGAAATCACTAAGTCTCGCCGCGTACTGATTGTGCTGATACCGAATCCGATTGTGCCTATAACGAGGCTTTGATACTAGCTGTTACTTGTCAACAATCACTGGCAACAATGTATGTTGGCAAGTTTGAGCACTTAGTTTCTAGAGTTTACAGTTAGATTTTACTGGAATTGGTCATGATAACGCAACACAGATCAAACAATGTATATGCAACCAATTTCATCAATGCGCGATTCGTGTAACGCGTCCGCCGTGTCGCATAGCTCGTCGCACGCGAAACCCCGTGGGTAACCGAAACTGATACCAAGACTAGAGGAACAAAGGCCCTGTCCTGTTGGCGCACAACTAGTTGGAGCCTTCCGCACAAGCACTGCGGGATGAGGTTTCCTCGAACAGGACAAACCCCCTGCGGCCTCGGCGAAGTTTGGTGCTAATGACAAAGCAAGCTTGCAAAAAGCCCAGGTAATTTTCGTTAACTATGCCTAGGCTGCCCAGGATGCTCAAAATGTTTCATCTCGACCACTCACAAACCTTCGGCCCTTGGGTTCATCTTTGCCCCTGGTCTGGAATGTTTTTGTGGTGAGTTGATTCATCGCCGAATTTTTCAATAATCGGGCGTTGAGATCTGCCCGTTATTGCTTGTGCGTCCCCTTATCCCCCCTCTAGTGGGTGGATAGGGTTCGCACGGGCGCTGCCTCGAGTCTGCCCGTGATTGAAGTTTCGATGTTAAGTCCGAACACACTAGCGGTGATGCGTTTTTTAACCACCCACGGGCGCACAGCAAACGCTACCAGGTTCGGTTCACAATAACGAAGTGAGAGGCTAGATGCGGGCGTTAAGCACTGTCATGCAGGTTCCTTCCTAGAATATTCCTTCTTTAGTGCCAAGCACCCCGAATGCTCCAAAAGAACAGGGCCTAAGTGACACCGAGTACTCTGCGTTGTGGTTGGCCATTTCCAGCAAGGAAGGTTATCAGCCTTCGCTGCACATCGCGACTGCACATTCCACTCGCTTTCGCTGCTTCCTCTCTCCTACTCAATTCTTCCCGCAATGAACTGAGGAAGAGAAAGGAAACAGAGCGTGTGTGATTTTTAGAAAACTGTCAACTCAGACCGCACGCCCTTGATTGCTTCGTCTTGCGCCGTTTCCAGGTCGTAGTTTAGCGCCGTTTAGGACCTAGCGACGGCACCGTTCGGCGCTCGCGTGGCAGCTGCAAACCACCCTAATATCCCGCACGTCATCCCTCTGCGCGATTGCCGGAATTCGATTCGTCTGCGAGCTTCCGCGCACGCGCCATGTCGCAGCACGCGTCCACTCCGGCGGAGGGGAAAGCGGACACTGCGCCTGGCGCGCAGTCAGAGGTGCTGGCGTTGGACGCGCCGAAGACCATTCCGGGAATGATGGAGGTGCGGCAGATGGTCACCGACGACCCCGTGGGTGAGCCGCACTGCAATTCTTGGGACGAGCGCACGGCGATTTGGGATCGCAGGATGCCGGCGATAACGCTGCGACTCGCACGCCGTCGCAATGGCTAAATAACTTTTTGTCCGTGCATGCGCGAATGCGCTGTTTGCCGTCCATCTTTCGCTCGCCAAGGCGCGTCAAACCCTAACCCTAATTTTCATCTCCCTCCTCCGCAACACCCTGGCGCCAGGCGGGTGGGACAAGGCGTGGCAGGCGAGCGCGACGCCGTGGGATCTGGGCGGCGTGACGCCGGCTGTAGCGGCGCTCGTGGCGGCGCAAGAGGGGTCGCCGCTGCACCTGCCGTCCTCCATCCGCCGCGTGCTCGTCCCCGGCTGTGGCACCGTGAGTGCCTCGCGGCCGGGGTGGGGCGGGAAAGGGGGAAGGGGAGGAGCAGGCGAGGGCGAGGCGGAAGAGGGGGAGGAGGAGGAGGGCGGGAGCGGGCGGGGGAGGAGAGGAAAGACGTCACCAGCTGCTAGGTGCTGTTGGGCCTGCGGGTGGGCAGGGTGAGGAAGGGAGAAGGGGGAGTTGGGAAAAGGTAGGGGGGGAAATAAGAGGGGAAGGAGGTGGGCAAGTTGAAGATGTGGAGTGAAAGAAGGCTAGGGGCATGAGGAAGCAGAACCATGTGAGGACAAGGTGCAGAGGTGTGAGCATGAGGTGCAAAGGTGTGAGCATGAGGTGCAAAGGTGTGAGCATGAGGGCCAGAGGTGTGAGCATGACTGCACAGTGGGTGTTTTATGGGAGATGTGAACCGGGCTGTAGCAAGAGGGGGGAAAGTCCAAGGCACGTGCAATGATTGCTCTTTGGCTGATTTTCTGAAACTTCCCACGCCCACGGCACATCACTGCATGCTGTCACGTGGGTCCATCTCATGGCATGACATGGGATGGCATGGCATGACATGGGGAGGTTCTGGATACCACACCAGCTGTCCCTCCGCTGCTGCGCTCCTTTCTCCTGGCATGTGTTTCACGTTCCAATCACTCCTACATCACGTGCCATTTGCCCTTTCTACCTTGGCTTAGAGCACACACGCACCCCATCTCCCCCTTTCTGCTTATCCTGCCTCTATCAATGCGCACATGCCCCATCGCCCCTCCCATGGCCCTCACACCCTCACGCCCCCATGCACCATCCTTCCATGCTGGCTTGCCCCCATGTCCCTCCCCACGGCCCTCGCAACACGCAGCTTCTTCTGTGCGCTGGCGCCATCGCTGAGGGGCAAGTGGGCCGCCAAGACTGCGGAGCTGCTATTGAGTCGACTCATAAATTCTCTCCATGCCTCCATGCCCGTATGCCCCTCCCACCGCACGCAGCTTCTTCTGTGCGCTGTCGCCATCGCTGAGGGGCAAGTGGGCGGCTAAGACTGCGGAGCTACTGGCACCACAGGGGGTGCTCTACACGCTCATGTACCCCGTGCGTAGCATTGCTCTACACGCTCATGTACCCCGTGCGTAGCATTGCTCTACACGCTCATGTACCCCGTGCGTAGCATTGCTCTACACGCTCATGTACCCCGTGCGTAGCATTGCTCTACACGCTCATGTACCCCGTGCGTAGCATTGCTCTACACGCTCATGTACCCCGTGCGTAGCATTGCTCTACACGCTCATGTACCCCATGCGTAGCATTGCTCTACACGCTCATGTACCCCGTGCGTAGCATTGCTCTACACGCTCATGTACCCCGTGCGTAGCATTGCTCTACACGCTCATGTACCCCGTGCGTAGCATTGCTCTACACGCTCATGTACCCCGTGCGTAGCATTGCTCTACACGCTCATGTACCCCGTGCGTAGCATTGCTCTACACGCTCATGTACCCCGTGCGTAGCATTGCTCTACACGCTCATGTACCCCGTGCGTAGCATTGCTCTACACGCTCATGTACCCCATGCGTAGCATTGCTCTACACGCTCATGTACCCCGTGCGTAGCATTGCTCTACACGCTCATGTACCCCATGCGTAGCATTGCTCTACACGCTCATGTACCCCATGCGTAGCATTGCTCTACACGCTCATGTACCCCGTGCGTAGCATTGCTCTACACGCTCATGTACCCCGTGCGTAGCATTGCTCTACACGCTCATGTACCCCGTGCGTAGCATTGCTCTACACGCTCATGTACCCCATGCGTAGCATTGCTCTACACGCTCATGTACCCCATGCGTAGCATTGCTCTACACGCTCATGTACCCCGTGCGTAGCATTGCTCTACACGCTCATGTACCCCGTGCGTAGCATTGCTCTACACGCTCATGTACCCCGTGCGTAGCATTGCTCTACACGCTCATGTACCCCATGCGTAGCATTGCTCTACACGCTCATGTACCCCGTGCGTAGCATTGCTCTACACGCTCATGTACCCCATGCGTAGCATTGCTCTACACGCTCATGTACCCCGTGCGTAGCATTGCTCTACACGCTCATGTACCCCGTGCGTAGCATTGCTCTACACGCTCATGTACCCCATGCGTAGCATTGCTCTACACGCTCATGTACCCCATGCGTAGCATTGCTCTACACGCTCATGTACCCCGTGCGTAGCATTGCTCTACACGCTCATGTACCCCATGCGTAGCATTGCTCTACACGCTCATGTACCCCGTGCGTAGCATTGCTCTACACGCTCATGTACCCCATGCGTAGCATTGCTCTACACGCTCATGTACCCCATGCGTAGCATTGCTCTACACGCTCATGTACCCCGTGCGTAGCATTGCTCTACACGCTCATGTACCCCATGCGTAGCATTGCTCTACACGCTCATGTACCCCGTGCGTAGCATTGCTCTACACGCTCATGTACCCCGTGCGTAGCATTGCTCTACACGCTCATGTACCCCGTGCGTAGCATTGCTCTACACGCTCATGTACCCCGTGCGTAGCATTGCTCTACACGCTCATGTACCCCGTGCGTAGCATTGCTCTACACGCTCATGTACCCCATGCGTAGCATTGCTCTACACGCTCATGTACCCCGTGCGTAGCATTGCTCTACACGCTCATGTACCCCGTGCGTAGCATTGCTCTACACGCTCATGTACCCCGTGCGTAGCATTGCTCTACACGCTCATGTACCCCGTGCGTAGCATTGCTCTACACGCTCATGTACCCCGTGCGTAGCATTGCTCTACACGCTCATGTACCCCGTGCGTAGCATTGCTCTACACGCTCATGTACCCCGTGCGTAGCATTGCTCTACACGCTCATGTACCCCGTGCGTAGCATTGCTCTACACGCTCATGTACCCCATGCGTAGCATTGCTCTACACGCTCATGTACCCCATGCGTAGCATTGCTCTACACGCTCATGTACCCCGTGCGTAGCATTGCTCTACACGCTCATGTACCCCGTGCGTAGCATTGCTCTACACGCTCATGTACCCCATGCGTAGCATTGCTCTACACGCTCATGTACCCCATGCGTAGCATTGCTCTACACGCTCATGTACCCCGTGCGTAGCATTGCTCTACACGCTCATGTACCCCATGCGTAGCATTGCTCTACACGCTCATGTACCCCGTGCGTAGCATTGCTCTACACGCTCATGTACCCCATGCGTAGCATTGCTCTACACGCTCATGTACCCCATGCGTAGCATTGCTCTACACGCTCATGTACCCCGTGCGTAGCATTGCTCTACACGCTCATGTACCCCATGCGTAGCATTGCTCTACACGCTCATGTACCCCGTGCGTAGCATTGCTCTACACGCTCATGTACCCCGTGCGTAGCATTGCTCTACACGCTCATGTACCCCGTGCGTAGCATTGCTCTACACGCTCATGTACCCCGTGCGTAGCATTGCTCTACACGCTCATGTACCCCGTGCGTAGCATTGCTCTACACGCTCATGTACCCCATGCGTAGCATTGCTCTACACGCTCATGTACCCCATGCGTAGCATTGCTCTACACGCTCATGTACCCCGTGCGTAGCATTGCTCTACACGCTCATGTACCCCATGCGTAGCATTGCTCTACACGCTCATGTACCCCGTGCGTAGCATTGCTCTACACGCTCATGTACCCCATGCGTAGCATTGCTCTACACGCTCATGTACCCCGTGCGTAGCATTGCTCTACACGCTCATGTACCCCATGCGTAGCATTGCTCTACACGCTCATGTACCCCATGCGTAGCATTGCTCTACACGCTCATGTACCCCGTGCGTAGCATTGCTCTACACGCTCATGTACCCCGTGCGTAGCATTGCTCTACACGCTCATGTACCCCGTGCGTAGCATTGCTCTACACGCTCATGTACCCCGTGCGTAGCATTGCTCTACACGCTCATGTACCCCGTGCGTAGCATTGCTCTACACGCTCATGTACCCCGTGCGTAGCATTGCTCTACACGCTCATGTACCCCGTGCGTAGCATTGCTCTACACGCTCATGTACCCCGTGCGTAGCATTGCTCTACACGCTCATGTACCCCATGCGTAGCATTGCTCTACACGCTCATGTACCCCATGCGTAGCATTGCTCTACACGCTCATGTACCCCATGCGTAGCATTGCTCTACACGCTCATGTACCCCGTGCGTAGCATTGCTCTACACGCTCATGTACCCCGTGCGTAGCATTGCTCTACACGCTCATGTACCCCGTGCGTAGCATTGCTCTACACGCTCATGTACCCCATGCGTAGCATTGCTCTACACGCTCATGTACCCCGTGCGTAGCATTGCTCTACACGCTCATGTACCCCGTGCGTAGCATTGCTCTACACGCTCATGTACCCCATGCGTAGCATTGCTCTACACGCTCATGTACCCCATGCGTAGCATTGCTCTACACGCTCATGTACCCCGTGCGTAGCATTGCTCTACACGCTCATGTACCCCATGCGTAGCATTGCTCTACACGCTCATGTACCCCGTGCGTAGCATTGCTCTACACGCTCATGTACCCCGTGCGTAGCATTGCTCTACACGCTCATGTACCCCGTGCGTAGCATTGCTCTACACGCTCATGTACCCCGTGCGTAGCATTGCTCTACACGCTCATGTACCCCGTGCGTAGCATTGCTCTACACGCTCATGTACCCCGTGCGTAGCATTGCTCTACACGCTCATGTACCCCGTGCGTAGCATTGCTCTACACGCTCATGTACCCCGTGCGTAGCATTGCTCTACACGCTCATGTACCCCATGCGTAGCATTGCTCTACACGCTCATGTACCCCATGCGTAGCATTGCTCTACACGCTCATGTACCCCGTGCGTAGCATTGCTCTACACGCTCATGTACCCCGTGCGTAGCATTGCTCTACACGCTCATGTACCCCGTGCGTAGCATTGCTCTACACGCTCATGTACCCCATGCGTAGCATTGCTCTACACGCTCATGTACCCCATGCGTAGCATTGCTCTACACGCTCATGTACCCCGTGCGTAGCATTGCTCTACACGCTCATGTACCCCGTGCGTAGCATTGCTCTACACGCTCATGTACCCCATGCGTAGCATTGCTCTACACGCTCATGTACCCCATGCGTAGCATTGCTCTACACGCTCATGTACCCCGTGCGTAGCATTGCTCTACACGCTCATGTACCCCGTGCGTAGCATTGCTCTACACGCTCATGTACCCCGTGCGTAGCATTGCTCTACACGCTCATGTACCCCATGCGTAGCATTGCTCTACACGCTCATGTACCCCGTGCGTAGCATTGCTCTACACGCTCATGTACCCCGTGCGTAGCATTGCTCTACACGCTCATGTACCCCGTGCGTAGCATTGCTCTACACGCTCATGTACCCCGTGCGTAGCATTGCTCTACACGCTCATGTACCCCATGCGTAGCATTGCTCTACACGCTCATGTACCCCATGCGTAGCATTGCTCTACACGCTCATGTACCCCGTGCGTAGCATTGCTCTACACGCTCATGTACCCCGTGCGTAGCATTGCTCTACACGCTCATGTACCCCGTGCGTAGCATTGCTCTACACGCTCATGTACCCCGTGCGTAGCATTGCTCTACACGCTCATGTACCCCGTGCGTAGCATTGCTCTACACGCTCATGTACCCCGTGCGTAGCATTGCTCTACACGCTCATGTACCCCATGCGTAGCATTGCTCTACACGCTCATGTACCCCATGCGTAGCATTGCTCTACACGCTCATGTACCCCGTGCGTAGCATTGCTCTACACGCTCATGTACCCCGTGCGTAGCATTGCTCTACACGCTCATGTACCCCGTGCGTAGCATTGCTCTACACGCTCATGTACCCCGTGCGTAGCATTGCTCTACACGCTCATGTACCCCATGCGTAGCATTGCTCTACACGCTCATGTACCCCATGCGTAGCATTGCTCTACACGTTCATGTACCCCATGCGTAGCATTGCTCTA